CTCACTGATGTGAGCAAAAAATATTTATGTGCTAGTATAAGAAATAAAACTGTGAAAAACAGGGATTATATTACAGCCAAACATACAATCTAGGAGAGAAAGCGAAGGAAAAAAAAAAAGAGTTAACCCAGTGCTAGGACTCTAACCAAGTTAAATGAATGAAACTAAAATTATAACAAGCTAGAAAGCTCATTAAAATCAAATAGCTTACTATATATATATATATATATATATAAAACAGTGCTAATTAACTACTGGAACAATTTACTTTGACATGTGGAAGATTTTCCATCATTTGCATTCTTTAGATCTACACAGGGCTTCTGGCCAGCAAAGAACACTGCTGTTCAAACAGAAGTTGTGTTCAATACAGGAATTATTGGGTGATAGGTTATGGTCTTTGTAGTGACATAGTCAGATAAAATGACTACAATAGCCTCATCTGACCTTGAACTCTGAATTTCCATCCCAGAAGAGCCTCATGCAATTGATGCACCAATAAATGGCACATCTGGTTGACTGCCTGGGGGCAAAAGAAAATTCCAGTACAAGCAATCTTAAGCACTTGCTTTAGCACAGCTACTTGCAGAAGGCCATTTAAGACAATGTGCTGTGCTGACCACAAGCCTTCTCTCAGTAAATTGTGTTTATATGTCGTTGAATAAGAGTATGAACCATCAACTCAACAGTCCAAGCTTTTTCTTTTTTCCTTCCCCCTTCTATTAATAAGAGAATGTGTGTACACAAATCTTTGTACTTTTTATTAAATGCTTCAGTTCTTGTACATTGTTATCTGTTAAAGCAAACCCATAAAAATCAACAATATATCTCTCTTGAATGTTTATTGTCTTCAGCAGCTGCTTAATTGGCAAGTTTGTTTCCAGTAGGTTGAATGAATTATAAAAATTCTTCAGCTTTAATAAACTGATACCCTACTGATCACCCTAGAATATTCCTTTTGTGAGCGAATGCTCTACATTATCCTCCTATGTTGTTTCATGTAGATTCCACTAGCTCCTGAGAACCATGCAGTTAAAATGAAAACGTTGAAGAGCTTTCAGCATGGAGCTGCTTTTTCATGTAATTATGCCTGCTGTTAATAGCCTTCCATTAAAGCCATGGCACAGGTTTTTGCTAACCCACTGCAAATGATTGGTTGAAATTTAAAATACCACAATGAGCCACAAAATACCAGTTTTCACATTGAGCTCAAATTGCCAGATTTCAAACCTTTTTTTTGCCTCTACAAGTGACAGGGTGGGCAATATTACAACAGCTATTACTTAAGGGAAGCACTGAACTTATCAATTTGAAGCTATGAAAATCTTCCTCAGGGCTCACCTGGGAGGTGCTTTCCTGAAAATGACACAGCTCTGCCTATTGCTGGTGGTGTCAGTGTGAGCTCCAAATGCAGACAACTGGATCTAATAAATGGCTAGCTGTATAAATCCAGACACTAACCAGCATCCCCTGAAGTGCTCCAGCTTGCCTGAAGAGGTGAATGCCTAGGTAATTGAGCTTGGACATTTTTTAAGGGAAACTGCTGTCAGTAAAGAAAAAAAAGATAAAAAGTCGTAAAGAAATCCCAGTAAAGCTAGCATATGCATTACATTGAAATTATAGAATCACAGAACCGTAGGGGTTGGAAGGGACCCCAAAAGATCATCGGGTCCAACCCCCCTGCCAAACCAGGTTCCTCAGAGCAGGCTGCCCAGGTAGGCATCCAGACAGGCCTTGAATATCTTTGGAAGAGACTCCACAGCCTCCCTAGGCAGCCTGTTCCAATGCTCCATCATCCTCACTGTGAAGAAGTTTGTTTGCATGTCAGTGCGGAACTTCCTGTGCTCTAACTTGCAGCCATTGCCCCTTGTCCTATCCCCACAAACCACTGAGAAGAGGTTGACTACATCCTTCTGTCCCCCACCCCTCAGATATTTATATACACTGAGGAGATCCCCTCTCAGTCTTCTCTTCTCCAGGCTGAACAGACCCCGGTCTCTCAGCCTTTCTTCATAGGGAAGATGCTCCAGGCCCCGTATCATCTTTGTGGACCTCTGCTGGACTCTTTCCAGGAGATCCCTGTCTTTCTTGTACCGGGGAGCCCAGAACTGGACACAGTACTCCAGGTGAGGCCTGACCAGGACAGAGTAGAGGGGGAGGATCACTTCCCTTGACCTGCTGGCCACACTCCTTTTAATGCACGCCAGGATCCCATTAGCCCTCTTGGCCACAAGGGCACACTGCTGGCTCATGGTCAACCTGTCGTCCACCAGGACCCCCAGGTCCTTCTCCTCAGAGCTCCTCTCCAGCAGGTCGTCCCCCAGCCTGTACTGATACTTCAGGTAAAAGGGTAAATTCAGGTAAATTCATTCAGGGATTCCTGATTTGTTTGTTCTTATATATTGGAGAAATCCCACAGCAGCTTATCACTGAGAGTTACAGAAAGCACTTTCATTTTTTGAAGTAACATTTTATTAAAATGTCCTGTGCCAGAACCACCAGCAGCAGACCACTCACCTCCAAAGCCACATTCAAATGACTGCAATTAAATAGTTTGTAATCTGTGAGCCTAAAGGTAGGATAGATTAAGGATTAAGCTGAAACAGAGTTCCTCATGTATTTTGCAGAGAATTCAGTCAACATTAAGGCAGGCAAACACAGGCATGTAAAAATGCAAGTGTGTACATGTGAGCTGGGATCCAGACTCATGCTGAAGTCAATGAACAGAGCTAAGCAGGCCACCCTACAATGGACACCTATTCACTGGTCCATGGAATCACACTTGCTCTACTGCCTGTACTCACTTCTCACTTGAGTTTGATTCAGTTGCTTGCTCATAAATCCCTGCTGCTTCTTCAGATGCTCTAAAGCATCCCACAAGACCTTCAGCAGCAATTGCAAAAACATCTCTGAAGTCTTGCATCACATCCCCATCCCCTGGCTGATGTCCTAAACAACTTGACAACATCCCGAGTAGTAATAGACAACAGAGTGTAAAACTGAGTTTAGACTTAACCTGCCACCATCACCTTAGATTTTAATGGGAGTACAGAGGCCTAGCTCACCTGTAGATACCTGCATTCACCTACATGCACTTAAGGGTTTTAACCTTAAACAGAACACCTGAAGCTGATGAAAGAAAGGAGAACGACTGGTTCTCCGAACAGCACCTAAAATAATAAGAAACCAACAAAATACATGGAAATGCTACACTGGGAATCATCTAGATTATTTTTCTGCATAGGAATCTTGTTAGACATTGGAACAGGCTGCCCAGGGAAGTGGTGGAGTCACCATCCCTGGAAGTCTTTAAAAGACGTTTAGATATAGAGCTTAGGGATATGGTTTAGTGGGGACTGTTAGCGTTAGGTCAGAGGTTGGACTCGATGATCTTGAGGTCTCTTCCAACCTAGAAATTCTGTAATTCTGTGAATTGTTCTCGTCTCTTCCTACTTGGTACTGGTTAAGTAGCAGTTAAAGCAGACAAAATCAAATGAGACTGCTCAGATTCAGGCGTATATAACTCCTCCAAAATGCAAAGATTTGGTCTTTTTCCTAACCTCAGAGAAAGTTTTCTTTACAACTCTCTCAATACATTGCAAATTTCATGTCATTTATTAAAAAGTGTCCTTATTAAAAAAAAATAAAATCTTGTTGCAACTGCAACATGTTCTTGTAGTGAAAGAATCCCATTATCCAAGAATTTTGAGCAACAGCCTTGAAATGATCTGATTTTGATCCCTCAGCTTTCTTGACCTTCTTGATGACCTTTTGTGCAATCAAGAACTTCTCCACGTCAGATGCTAATATATACATAATGTCAGATATAACATTTCAGAAAGGTGCCTGGACTGTCCACAAGATTAAAACCCCAGGCAAGGCTCTTTGTTGTGGAAGCCGCATTTACACACTGCCATCTTGTGTTGCTAGTTTATAATTGTTTTTTGCTGACTAGAGCACACTACACTCCAAATACTTTGAGTATCAAAACACATAGAAACAACATTCATAACACGAGTTTTCATGCCTCCTCCCCTCTAGGTGAAGGAGGTTTTTTTGCTCATATTTTCTAACTTGAATTAGCAAAAAGCAGGTTTGAAGGAGCCCAGTTAAACTATGCCTTTAGCAAGGATGAGAAACAGCTTCGAATGAGGAAGAGTTTCAATTTCAGCTTTATGACACTCACTAAATCTGAAATTCTACTCTTTTTTTTTCTTTTTTTTTTTTTTTTTTGCTCATGACCAAAGAGAAAACAACTTAGAACAAGCTAATCAAATTTATTATTTTTCAAATATTTTGTGGAAAAATGAAATCACACAAATAATTGACATCATTTATGGAAAGCCAGGCTGGCTCAGAGTGCATCACTCCAGGCTGCAGGCCAGCAGTTGGGCAGCTCTAGAGGCATCACAAAGCACAGGTTTCTGAGTTTTCTTTTTTCCCTCCATTCTTCATCCTGTAGGCATTTCTGTGCCCAAGTGATTCCCAGGGACAAGGCAGCATGACAAGGCTCAAGATCTAAAAGGTGGTTTGGCCATCCCTGACTCTTCCCACAGCTTTACTGCATAGTACAATGTTGGGAGAGGGGAAGTTAAGGGTAAGTTAAGATAAATGCTTTGATGCATTGGAGGGTAGAGAAGTTGGCCCATGACAAAGATTTTTCTTTCAGTTTCTTTCTGAGAAATTTTGGGCAACTTCCACTTCACCTGATTGTCCTGCTTCAGCGATGAGCATACAGGGCAGAGAATCAGTCTCACCACTTATATTAAAGGCTGGGGGGGGGGGGTGAAGGGGGAGGAATTTGACAGGGGAAATACATATAAAATTTGAAGTCTGTGAGTGAAGAGAAAAAAGCAAGAACTACTGTTCTTACACATTTTTATGGTGGCATTTTAACCCTTTCATAGAAAAAAGTTTTCCCAGGACCAGAATTCAAGTTATATTTCAGCAAATCACCTTAACAACACCTTTTGCTAGAGTGAAAGAAAAGAAACTTCTAATAAATGCAACATCAGAAATTTTATTTACAAATATACTGTAATTCAACAACCATTCTCCATCTCGTTTGTGGAGGAAAAAGTGATAGTTACATTTTTCAAATAGGAAAAGAGAACTCTTTCCATTGAATGGATTCCACAGAATATTATGCCATCACCACTGAGCAAACAGATTATTCTTTGTATTGAAGTTTCAGAAAGCACATAATTTTAGAAACCAGCGTATGGAAAGCAAACACATTTGTGTGCATTTAAACGCAGCTTCGTATTAACCCAGAGAATTCACTCTCAATATATGTCAAAAATAAAGACAGCAATTGCAAATATATATTTATATTAACTATTTCTCTAATGCTCGCTTCGAGAGCTTAGAAACAAAATACCCTCTTCATATACCATTGGAAAGTCAACTAGTTGATTATAAGCCTCAAAAATATATTGAAAATATACTTATTCTCCCTTGTGCTCTCTGTACTTGAAGCTGTAAAAGTAAAAGCATCTTCCCCAGATATTTCCTTACTGCAATTACTTTATCATAAATAAAAATACAGTTGTATGAGGAATATAATGCATTGCTATGAAGACTAGACAAGCAAGAGTTACTCTTAGAAAAAACACACACACACAATATATATATTTATAGATCTACATCAGCAGCAATCACCTCTTCTTTTATCTGCAACAGTGGTTTCATATCTAGGTTTGCTTCACATGGAGGTTGGTTGTCCAGCTGTTAAGAGAAAAAACTGTAATTAAATTCTAGCTATTGAAGAATCTTCATGACAAAAAAATAAATTTTTCACTTAAAAGATTGACAGACAATGGTGTTACCAGTATCTATGAAATTTGGAACAAAACGTACAGCATACATTTTGAGTCTACAAAGTCAAATGTAATAAGCAATAAAAACTTGGGTTTAATTCAACTACAGCACTGCAAATATTTCAGGCCAAGTAGTTTTCCACAGAACATGCACCTTACCAAGTTCTTAGGAATTGTTTTTAGTATCAACACAAATAGAGGGTCACTGTTTTTCTGAATTTAACCTTCAATAAATTGGATTAGGATTTGCTAAATAACTATAGCAATATATATTAAAACCAAGAAAAGGTTATCCTCTCTCTCTCTATACATATTTGAGGGAACCTGCCAATACACCAGTGTTTCACTATAAAGTTACAAGTTTAAAACAAAATCAACATTAAAATGTGCAGAAATATTTGACTGTAAAATTACATTGTGAATATTAATAATCCTACAGTTTATCAAACATTTTAGCCAATACGTTCACATTTCAAACTACTGAATTATCAGAGTGATGTGAAATGTTAACAGTAAACAAAAAGTTATCTGCATTACAGACCACTGCTGCATTGTCAGTATATATTTTCATTGTAGTAATCACATAGCTAGTTTTTGTATTGTTCAAATCACTAGTTTCAATATTTCACTTCCTACCCACAAGCTCCTAACAGCTATCTTATGTTATGAGGTGCCCACTGACCCAAGAAGATGCAGTCTGAAGGGAAGGGTATACAACCACTGAAGGGTATACAACCACTTATCGGAGATTAATTTTGCTTCTGAAAGGCTACTCACTGTCATGACTTTATTGGCTATAATGTCAGAGAGATTAAATAGTGCTTCATCCATGATAAAGTTTTGGGTTAGTTCCATCCCTGAATACTGTCTTTGTCAGGGAATAATAAACTTTTTTTTTTTTTCAGTTCCAAACTCATACAGAAAATTTGCACCCAAAAGAAAAGATAGGTAAAGCTAAAAAAACATGAGCAGGCTCCAGATTGAATTGCTCACATACTTTGGTGCTTTAATTAGGAACACAGTCACTTCAGCGCAGTCTCAAACTCAACAAGGAGATGTAATCTCCAAACAGGCAATCTCCAATAATCTCTAATATTTGGAGAGATTTGAGCCAGTGCTCTGGATCATCTCCAGAGGGAAGGGGAGGGATTTTCTTCCTCCTTCCACTGATTGCAGAGGTGTCCCTGCACCTAACGTTAGCCTCTGTGAATATACTGTTAGCATCAAGTAGAGATGAGGGGTTTTCTGCTTGTTTTTAGCCAGGGCTAAGAACAATCATTTCAATGGTGCAGTCAGCTTTTCCTCCCCATGGAAGCCAAAAGAGCCTGAAAACAGCAAATGCATCAGATGCAGAGCTTCTCTTTTTTTTCTGAGCTGGGCTTCTCAGCCAGCAGATGCTAAAGTCCTGCTCATGTGTAGTAGCATGAGTATCCTGTTCCCTTCACTGCCTTCTGGACCACAATGAGGAAAAACGTGCTGGGCTCATGTAAAAACATGCATGTTTCCCAGAAAATCGTTCAGAAATCCTTTTCCCTTAGCTGAATTCTATCATTCTAAAGAATTCCATATTTTCTACATAAAGCTATATAAAACTATGATTTATCAAAATTTGGAGGTTGTCTACTATCATGTATGACAGCAGAAAAAAAACCAAAACACTACTATTCAAAATCCTTAACATCATGCTCCATAAATCAGAATTCTGCAAACTATAATAAAGGAAAAAAGTTATACTGCACCTTTTAATTAAGATCTGTAAGTAAATCAATTCCTGCTGAACTTGTACCTAAACGAATAACCAATCACAGACCTATAATTCAAATAATGATAACATGCAAAAAGAAAGAAGCATTTCTGCCACCTGCACAAGATAAATTAATATCTTTCCACTTTTGGTTAGGATTGAACTAAACACGTATTTAGATTACTTTAAAAAAAAAATGTAGACAGATTCTCAAAAAAGACTTCTCTGTTATCAATAGAAGTTGTTTGCTGCCTAGGCAACTTCTCAATACCACCTTCTCAGATCTATGAAGAAAACAGGATGACTACACTGCGTTGTCTGTTTGAAGCCATTTAATAACAAGGTGGTAAAACCATCTACCAGCAAGTTAAAAGTTAAGAATGACTACACCCTACAAAAGACAGGAACAGACAATCAGACCTTTCTAAACCTTTTCACTAACACAGCAACTTGAAACAAAACATGAAAGCTATCAACTGTCTCAGTTATACAAACAGTTGAAGTTTTACAGCACAAAGAAGAATTACAGTCATGCACACTGCAACTGGATTGCCTTACTTTTAAATCTGATATAGCAGTCGTTGCAGAAGAGTTTGTTGTTTCGGATCCTGACTTCAGCTCCAGAGCGGGATCCCCCAAGGTCGCATCCACAGGCAACACACTGTATGATAGATCTTTAGTTAGCAACTCCTTACAAAATACTAAAAAAAGGAAATGTTTCTCAAAAGCAGCTTGAATTAAGCCCAACAAAGCTTGAACCACAAACCCATAACCACTAGAAGCAAATGTATAATGATTAGTAGATCAAAATGCAACCAACCCTGAGAAAGTATTTTTAAGGTGATGACTGGACAACGAGTAGCAGAGAGACACCAACTAAGCAAACATAGACCAGATGCTATTTAGAGATTAGTTCATTAAATCTAATTTGAGCTTCAGTTTGTCTGAAAACTAAAGTTGGCTCAACAAGGAAGAATTTGTTGTCTGGCAACAGCAATTTTGGCACCGAACACCTGGGTGTGCTACTTGCAGATTTCCATGTGGCAATACGTGTGCTGGGTTCCTCAACCCTTTGGCAGTCAAAGTAGCATACACTTGCGTCCTACACACTTCACTAGCTTTGCATCATAGTAACAAATCTGTATGTGGGCCAATTTCACTTTTCTTGAACGCATGAATAAAGGGCTTGATAACTTTCATACTAACAGTAAACAATTTAACTATGCTGGCTGAACACATCTTTGCTATGGGTATGAACCACCTCTGGAAGGACAGGAACTCAAATCGTAACACTATCCTTAACAAATTTATGAGAAGTAACTGACTTTCTACACATAACTTGCCTGCTTAAATGAGAAATGAATCTTCTGGATGGCAGGTTTTTCCAACATTTATGAAAGATTGAACAAACAAGTCTTAAGATAATTAAACTTGAACAAAAATATTTCCAATTGCCTTAAGTAGGTCAGGGCCTACAGGTGGACTCCCTTGCACAGAAGACATGTTCTGCAGCAAGGGAGTAAAAATCAGCCTCCGTGGATTACTGTCTGGGTGGGCAGGACAGGAAAGAGCTTTGAGTCAATCCCTTGTAATACTCTGATAATTTGAGCTGGGCACAGAGGGAAACTGAATGAGACACAGAGGAGTCTTTACTAAAGCCATGGAAGATGCAAGGTATGATGGCACCTCCAAAGCTGAGTCTAATTCCTCATATAGTCCTATGTCAGGGAAAGTATGAGTGCTTTTACATCTTTTGCAGGAAGGTTTTTATTATTATTATTTTTTCCCCCGCTCTGCTTTTACCCCAAGCTGACTGGAAATCTTGCAACTATGTCTCAGTGCTGAAAATGAGCTTAATATACCTAGCTACTAACCAGGGCTGATTAGTTTAAAACTTCTGGTTTGGTGCTTGGTTGTATCTTGCCAGTTTGAACACTGACAACATACCTTTGCCTGGAAAGCACCGCATGAACACTGCTAAGATTAGTTTAGCAGTGACAGGTCATCTTAGATGCTGCAATTCCCAGGGTCCAAGCTGAGATATTTTAAAAAGATCTGATTTCTCTAGGAAAGGAGGCTCAAGCACCTTCTGATTCTTTTGCTGCTAATTCAGAGAAAGAACTGTGATCTCACAGTCAGTGTGTCCATCTACTTGTTGAATTCCTACTTTTTAGCTCTAACATTTATGAAATCATCCTAGAGTTGAGTGCTAAATGCCTGCAGATAGGACTGCCTCATGGAAATCTGCAGATACCACGCTGTCAGAGTAGAAGGCGAAGCAAGTGATTTTAGTAGAGCCCCTGTGAGCATAACATTGAGTAGCCATGCGTGCTTCTGATTAGTTCCTGTTCTTTCACGATGATACTCCCCAACTCTCACCTTAAAGCAATGTAAATGATAACAAAGACCAAGAGACTCAATCATCATGGCTGCTCCTTTGCCCAGAACGTTATTACAGTATGAACAGATTTTCTTCCCACTGACTGACCTAGATACAGAATGAAAATCCTTAAAACCAGCTTGAAAAGGTCTAAAAAGGCAAAGAAAAGTTAAAGAATTTTTGAAATTAAAACCAAGAACATACTGGTAAAAAGTGGACTACTAGGCTTGAGGAAAATAAACTGAAAAGGAGTATTATTTGCAGTAGATCTGAGATCTAGGAAAAGCTGAAGTGTTATAATTTAGATCAAAGTTACATAGGAACAAATGAAGAATTTTTTGTCACATTCTTGGGAGAGATTTCATTGTATACAATACCTCCTACAATAAACTTAAAAGTATATTGTTAGGATTGAAGAGCAAAAACACACGGGTTTTGTGCTCCTGCCTTATTTACAAGGAATTATCCTGAAAACTAAGTTTTAGCAAGCACCCCTGCCAAGTTCCACCATCTGCACCTTGTTAGGTAACAGGTTAGTCCTGGACATACAATATTACATTAACTCTTTGAACACACACCATATGGAGTTCAATTTCCTTAGATCTACCAAGATGTTAACAAATCAGAGAATGGAAGTGGGAACAAGATAAGCAAACATGTTTAAGAAGGTCGTTTTCTTACATTATAAGGAATGTAAGAACCTAGCTTCAAAAAAAATGTTCAATTTATCAAAAAGTGTCTGAGAATGTAAGAGCTAGTGAAGAAGTGTTTACAGCGCTGTTATATATAATGCATGTAATTGTGTGTGTGTGTGATCCTCTCCACTCTCATCTAGAGGTATTTTTAAAATGTTTCAAGTGCATAAAACAGCAGACTTATCTACCCTACCACAACTGAATTCCAGTTTGTTTCAAAACATTTTGCAGTTCCTGCTTTCTCCTCCTAGATTAAAAACAACATGCTACTATGTAATTCTCCAGGGTCATGGGTTATGAGAATTCCTGAGTGCTCCTTGAGATGATACTGACCACATGCCAGGAAAGGGGGAGGAGAGATGAAGGTGAGGGCCATAAAGCGTGGGTTTGAGGAATCTTTTGTTAAAACAAACCTACGGAAATAAATATCAGAAGTGCCAACTGGAGTAGGCTTTTACTAAGATTTTGGTAACCAACATACAGCTTGGAGATGGAGAAAATTATTATTCCAGTTTATTATTATTATTATTTTATTTATTTTTTTTAAACTTATGTCAAGCACTGATGACAAACCTGGGAAATTTACTGAATGTCTGGAGCAGAGAGGTAATACCAGCCCTCATTTCCACTATCCTATCCAGCCAGAAAAACATGGGTACTTTTCAGACTTGTTCATTAATGTTACAGGTGAGACCACTGCTGTAGACCACCGTATCTACAGAGTCCACTCTTCAGTGAGGCCCAACGTCTCTATCTTCCCAGCAGAAGGGCACCCACTCACCTGCTGCGTGTCTGCGACCCTGTCTGGGAAGCAGAGACGGGAGACTGAACCCGGGGGGCAGGCTGGGACACAGATGGGGCCCTCACAGAGGAGGCCACAGGAGGTGCTTTGGCAGAGGAAGGAGTGCACATGTAGGCTCGGTTTGAAGTAGACACCGGGCGACTGAGATCTTGACTAGAGGACAGAGATGAAGTGGAGGCAGACTGGTTTAACCATGAATGGTGTCTCCATGAGCTTGTTCTTGGAGAATCAAGGTTGTCCAACGACTCTCCTCTGTAACACAGGTACATGTACAAATGTAAATGGTAGCACACCTGAACCAAAACAGCTACATTCTGAGTTCAAAAGACAAAAGAATTATCCTAGCATATTATCCTAGCAGATTATATTCTAAGATTTTCTAGCATGAATATACTTGTATGTTTAGGATATTGCTCAAGATGATCAGACCAATTTAAAAATATTTGAGCTGCAAATTATCCTTTGTGTCCAGTCCTAGTCTCATGGGAAAGAAAGCAGGAGAGCTGAAGGAGAGGCTGCACTTAATGACTGCAGAATAACAGCAAAACACCCTTCACTAATGTCTTATCAGAGTAAACTATGTCAGAATTTGTTGCACAGCAACATACTTCAGATAGGGTGGGTTTTTTTTGGTTTTGTTTTTTATTTTTCTCTCTAAGGGATACCAGATCAGAAATAACAATCCACCCAGGCTGCACAGCAACATGGTCTATGAACAAGGTGTTGGCCCAATAGTCAAACACTCTCCTGACTGATAATTTAGCTATTTCCTAAGTGACAAGCCCAGTACTCATGCATTACTTAAAGCAAGAAGTGAACTCAACACTTTCTGATACGCTACTTCTACATAAAAGAGGTACACTCTTTAGCTATAGTTTTTTCCACACTGAATTGTCCTACTGAAATTAAACACATCTGTTAGAGCTATTGATTTCCATTGTGTTATTTGCAGGTCACATCCACGTTCTTTTTGGAGATTTAATCTCATCTAGAGAATCTAGAATACCACTGCCACCACTACCTGTGTTGCTATTCAGTTTACATTAAATCATTTTACATGATGGATTTGTTTCAGTGCTCTGTAATACAAGCTGAAGTTTAGACTAACCAAACATATCGGAGGAGACACAAACAACTTTTGACATGGTTCCTACCTCCTCATACTATTGCCGTACAAACTAATAGGCTCCTTATGTACACTGGAACTACGCTGCCTAATCCAGCTGCTGTCCGTGTGTAGAGATGTTCTCTTTCTCATTTCCTGAAGGATTTGTTGTCTCTCTAACTCTGCCGCAGACAGGTTGTGCTCCTTCTGAGACCCCTTCTGCAGGTCCCCCGTGTTCCAAGACCTCTCCGAATGCTTGCCCTGAGTACCTGTTCAGACAACATTCAGGCACAAATGCAGTTAATGACCATCTAGTACTCTTAAGTGTAACTCCAGAAGCAGACATTCATCTTCACATTCACAAGCTTCTTTAGTTCCTTTTTATGGTTGGGTTTCATATTGCTAGCATCAAACTTGTCAATATCCCACTATTATTGCAAGATGTTTTGCTCATATTTCCATTAATAAGTTAAACATATAGAAGGGAATATCGAATTATCCAAAAATGATTTTTTTTTTTTTGCCTCTAGTAAAAATATATAAACATTTGTGTACATATGTATTTAAATGGAATAATTCATTCTATTTCCACAAGACTTCCTCCAACACAAACTGAAGCACACAAAATAAGTGAATGGTGGAATACTTTCTTTCTCTTTCAGAATCCATATTCTATAAGTTGTCTCTGTTTTCAGGAATTCTTTCTCTACTCACACTAAACACATTAACTTCATATTACAAAAAGGTATACATTTATGCACGTGTGTATACGTATACATAAAAATTAACTAAAAACATTAACGGAATGTTTATCTAATACATAGACACTGTGGTAACTAACCAGTGGAAATGAGATTATGCTGTACAACCTCTTTTGATCCTTGTTTGAATTTTTGAAAGGGGAAACCAATAAACCTTCTTTCTCCAATCTTCATTGACAGATAACATTTTTTTTTTCTAAACCCAGTAATTATTCTTTATAGTAAGACTATTTAATCAAGAAAATCACTGAGCAATAAGTCACTTCAATTTAAATTTCAGTCCTTTTAAATACTACTCTGATTACAGATATGCTTTTGATTTTACTACTACAGATTGCCATTATAAAATAGTGTGTATTCTTTCATTAGCTTCAATGACTGTGCTTTATGTGTGAAAGCAACATTGTCAATTTGCAATATTCTTTAATGCAATACACCAGCCTGACAGAGTTCAAGAAGCATTTAGACAACCCTCTCAGGAGATGGACTTGATGATCCTTGTGGATATCTTCCAACTCAGGATATAATAATTTCTATGACTTACTTTTGATTACTATGATTGACTATGATGACTATATTATTATGATTACTTTTTCTAACTACGTTTTAGACACAGGAATAGCTTTCAGGAATTTTTAAGTGTAATATATTTAAGAAAGTCTTCCTTCCCCTGCCATACAAAAAACAAACAAAAACCCATTAACATAACTGAAGAACAACTCAAGAAAGGTAGCAGTGAACTGCAGTCCAGGAAGCTGCAGGGCCACTGTGACAGTATCAAGAGTTAACTTCCACCTGTGTCATCCCTATCCTAACATAAGCTAAAACCAGCAAGCAATTGTGTTAAAAACATTATCAGCTTGGTATATGCAGCTTTTTTTTTTTTTTAAATTGACTAAGTCAACATATCAAGAATGCAAAGGTTTTCAATAGTATATCTACATGATGGGTTTCATCTACATTTTCAGATGTCAAACTTTTAGATAACTAAGATCCCTTTGTAATTAGTGCTATTTTAAGACAGCAGTTAATCATACACAGTCAACAGATAAGCCTAGGACAAATGAATTTCCTCTTTATGTTGGAACTTCATTAAGTCGTGCCATCATATAAATTTGAATTTATGGTGTAACTATGAAAAAGCACCTTGACAATTATTTTTCATAGGATAACTACTCCTGATACACCTCTTTAAAATGTATTAAAAAATAATGGAAATTAAGAAGTATTTACCATTTCTGTTTGCAGTGAATTCATTCAATTCTGAAGTTGACTTGGATTTATTCCTAAAAACATAGAAAATATTAATTTCACTACCTCAAGCAGGAGACCTCATCATGGACAAAGATCTTTGCAAAGTCATTGCAGACTGCAGCCACCTTTTCTAACATCCCTTTAATCAAAAATGTACAGAAACACAACAGGGTATTACATTGTCAAAAATGTATTGCAAAACATAGGTTGCCATACATTAAAAGCTGAAATTATTTATCAAAAGTTCCCAGTGCTTAAGCTATAAGGGACTGATCATTGTACTTGCTTAATCAACCCCCATCCCCAGCAGCCCCCCCCCACGCCCCTCAGAAAAACATAAAAACAAAGTCACTTCCCTGTAGAAGTTTACAGAAAAGTACAATCAAGGAGCAATAACTTTCAAAGCAGGTTTATAAATGATTTAGATTCATAAGTAACTTGAAACATACTCCAGTAACATCACCAATGTAAATACCTTCTCCAACACTGCATGCAGACTATTAATAGGAAATTTATTATTCACTGATTATACCCAGCAGCATGTTTTTTTAATCAGTTTTGGCCAAGAAATGCCATTCACTATACAGGAAGGCAAACAGCAAAAACCTGGGTTACTGACGCTACATAGCAGGAGCTTCAGCCATACCTCTGTGCTGTATTATTAGTCTCAAGTAATAAGAGCCAGTTTCTTATTTTAAAATGCTTCAGAAAGGGACAGAAGTCTTTTCCTGGGACACAACTCAAAGCTGTTACAACAGTATGTCTATGAGTGTAACACTGGATGCATAACAATGTGCTGAGGGAGTTTTGTCCTTTGTGTACAGATACATGATGCATAAACCAATTGCAAACTTCTTGCTCCCCCAAGTTCTGATTATTTGCCCTATATTGTGGACCTATTCTATTCCTTAAGAATATGCAACAATTGCACATTTGATCATATTGAACAGGAGCTCCAAAAAGCAGGTCAGCCTGGTCTGAGATGCTTTTAAGCACTTGAGTGTTCTCTTCATACATGTATGCAAGAGGTAACTACCTAGTGCAGGTATCTTCTGAAGTTAGATTTAGATCTTCCAGGTAACTCATTTATTATAGTTGTTCCCTGTGAATGTTGGGGTTCCTCTTAAGATACAAAGGCATGCTCACTCAATTATAAGACCTGACTAAATACACAGCAGAGATCTTTCATTACTGTGAGATGCTATCTAAGACAAAGGCTTAATACAAAGGCTCTGGATTTATATCTGGATACAAATGCTCAGCTTTTTTTTTTTTTTAAACCACAGCCCAATAACTAAAAAGGACACTATTTAAGAAGTCCAGTGGATTTGTACCAGCTAGTACATTCTATTGAAAAAAGAAAAACCCACATACAAAAACAAAAATCCCCCAAGCTAACCAACAAGCAAAACAAAATGCAAAGTTGCTAAGGTAAGAGAGTATAACTTAACAGGTGGCACATTACTATCTTCCTGATAAATACGCTGCTGCTGTCACTTCCCTCCCTGTTTGCTATCTCTTAAATTTCACAATCTTTGTTGAGATGACTGCACCTTAGTTTGTACAGCACACTGTGACACAACCACAGGATTGTTTTCCAGCCAGATAAGTCTAGTACCACCCACATATTTACTTCCTTATAGTTCTGCTTCTCCCAGTAAAATCCTAGTGACTGACTAACTGTTGTTTACAGCACAGCATATAATTTGCCAAAAGTTTGGCTACTTGTTTTCTCAATACAAAAGCAAGACATAAAAAAACCTACAAAATACAGCAGTGATGCATGGTATACGCTTAGCTGGCTGAAGTTTATTGGAAGTTTCAAGACTTTCTGACACAGAAACAGTAATATTACCATATATACCGAAATTCAGTATCACATACCTGTCAGACCATGACTGACCAGGACGCTCCTCAATGGTTTTGGAAGTTTCATAACGTTCATAATGCCTATTTTAAAAAAAATACCTTTATATACAGAGAAAAAAATAGAACTCTATTTCCTGCCAAAAATATTCAAAGCAGATCCTTGAGAAGAAACAAAACCCTACATACACAAAGATCTAAAAAGGTTTAATTTTATCAGTCCAAAACAACGTAAAAAAGAAGCCCAAAATAAAGGTTGTTAGAAAAACAGCCTGAAATTACTTTTTGTAAGTGACAAGGATTCTAAACTTCAACATGCCTAAATAGTTGACATTTATTGCTGAAGATGTTTCAACCTATCTACTGATTCAATTTCTTCTTACCTCTCAATAAGAGGATGACCAGATCGGTCCTCTATTGTTTTAGATCCTTCATAATGCTCATGATGTCTAGAGGCAACAAAGATATAAAAAAGTATTAAACACACATACACACACAAAAAAAAATAATAGAAATTGAACAAGCAGTAAATACACATACAGAAAAAAAAAAATAATTTCAGAAGTTGGTCAAACAAATACATGAGAGAGAATAAAAAAAGACCAAGACTTTCTAAGACACTGGAAAAATTATGAAGACCAATATACAACAGTGATCTCATCCATTGCAAAGCCGGGAGATAGCTTTGTCAAAACACAGGAGTTCTCCAGAAGTTAGATGCATATTGTAGCAAATTTCATGGGTGTCATCTGTAATCCATAGAGAGAAACACTCACTAACTTCTACAAACAAAGCTCTTCCAGTTGCCTGTCCCCAGCCTTAGCGCTCTGCCATCAGCTGAGCTAATCCAGCTCTTTTTAGTAAATATTGTGCCTTCATATGTGTTTATAGAGCATTTCAGATTTCAAGCCAAATCTTGGGATATCATTGTAAAACAAACATTTAACAATAGCTACTTTAAATTCCAGTTTGAACTTTACTAAACAACATCCTTGTTTATCAAAACACATCCTTTTGCAGCAACCTCAAGCAATTGCATCCCCCGAGACTAAAGCATATATCAGATATTTAGATATGTAGATATTACAGAAGCCTAATAAGTTACTGAACAACGTCCTATTACCTTGCAACTGGGGAAAGCTAAAACTACAGGGAAACCCTGGTTCAGCTGCCAAGAACCTGTTTAGCCATTGTAACAACTATGCCTCTGCTTTGCTCAGCAGGGATCTGAAGGAGCAGTAATTCTCTGTGAGCTGAAGTAACTCCAGATCTCACAGCCTTCCCTGCAAATATATGCAATTTCGTAATCATATTTTCCTCTCTTAAGATTTAACTTGATATCATGTATAAGCAGAAATTACTGAAGATAACACTAGAACAAAGAAAAAAAAAACTGAGAGAAAGAGCAAAGTTAGCTTACTGCCTTGAGTTGCAACTAAGTGCACAAGAAACAAGAAAAAGTTACTATTCTAATCTTTTGAACAGATTAATTTCCCATGATGCCTGTAGAATTGTTGGAGAACTTCTGGACAAGAACATGCACTTGTAAACTTTTTTTTAAGCAATTTGATGTAGAAATTAATGGAAGAAATTTTATCATGCTCAAGGATAGAAATATCCACTGTGGGTATTTCTAACAGGCTTTGATGACTAAGACAGTATTTGTTAACTCATATAGCATGATGCCCCTCATTGATAAATTAGCACACTAGCACAATTAAATTTTATTGTCATATTGTCAAGCTACAATGATAGATGAGTCTGGAAAATCAGTCATGCACTTGTTGGAAAAGAATTAACCTGGTATTTCTTCTCAAAGACCTGTACTTTGAGACAGTGACTGTTACTTCACATTCTTACACAAGGGTTCTTACACAAGAGTTCATAGTAAGTGTTTTAGGTCATCTTTGATTTGGCTAAAATTACTGTATATGTACATCCCATTTAAAAACGAGCAGAAGTAGGTTAATAGAGCACTTCATTCATGGAAGAAAATTTCATCTCACACCTGATTCTTCTACATTCAGAAAGAAAGAACATTTTATTCAGCCTCAGCAGGATACTCTGTGTAATAAGGTATTTATAGCAATGAGCACTGCCAGCCAGGCTGCAGAATTTTAAGTTATCACCGATCAGCTTCTAAATATCTTTCTTCAGCTAAAATGTAAAAATGAAAATGCAATTATTTCTAGACTTTTGGAACACAGAAGAAGACTGGTCTGCACAAGGTAAATAATTGGTTTGCAACAAAATGGACTAAGAAGCAGTGGGGCTCAAATTATGGCAACTCAGTCACAGGTACCTGATCTGATTATGCTTACAAAATGTGCGAACGATGGCAGAACCATGGATATTTTTACTGTTTCCCTGCCAAACTACATATACAAGGTGTTAGCAGGCTGAGACTATTATGCAACATCTTGCACTGATTAATCTGCAATATGAATCCTACATGAATGCACTTATATATTCAGGATATATACTCCCTTTAGAAAGATACTTGAATTTTTATGAAGAAGGGAGTGTTCATCTCATCACAAGTACAAACCTTTGGTACTGAGATGTCTCCACCAACACCTCCTTTGGCCTTTCTGCCCGCCGCCTCTGTTCCTCCATCTCCGCCCGCCGCCTCTGCTCCTCCATCTCTGCCTGCCGCCTCTGCTCCTCAGCATACTGCTTTTCCCTCTCTTTATGTTGTCTTTCAAGCTCTAGCTCTTCAAGTTCCCTTTCTTGCTCAAAACGCAGTGCTGCTTCTTCCTGGACACTCCATTCCTTCTGATGTCTCCTCTCTTCTTCCTTGCCCAGCAAGTGTGCTGCCAGCTCATTTCCTACATCTCCTTCTGGCTCCTCAGGAGTACTTGCTTCAGGGCTTGCCCCCCAGCTGGACACAGATGGAGCCCGTGCAGAGACAGAGAGCGTGTTTAAGGTTAGAACAGTCTGCTCCTGTAGCAAAGAAAATAAATGTTTTTAGGGGGGAGAGCTCTGGTGTGTGTTTGTTTTTCTGGTTGGTTGGTTTTGTTTTGTTTTTAAACGGGTAGCTGAATTAGGTTATTTATTCCATGAGGGAAGACTGTTGTAAAAAGCATCCCTACAACTCTGAATGCAAAACACAGGCGGCATATACTTTTGATTTGTGTGTGTGCGCGCACGCGCCTGCTAGCACATTCTCCTAATTCAAAAGCTTCATTCCTCACAGCAGTCTTAGGAAGCACAATGGGCAGCTTGTCCACAAGTATATGAAGCATTCAGCCTTCTAAAGCATCTCTTACATTTCATGCCACTCCATTTCCACTTAAATCCCCACCGGAAACAAGCTCTTTGTGACATCCAACATTTCTCCACAGTGTTTTGACTTCCAAGACCCACCTAAGAGAGCCATCATAAGTGGCTATCAGACCAATGTATTTCACATGAATCATCATGTGGAGGAAATTTCATCCTCCTACGTTCTAGTGCCATTTGAAAGTCAAGCCTCAGACTTACCACTCTAAAACTTATCTCAAACACAAAACAAGACCTTTCAGTGGTCAAAATAAGTTTTAATGGCAAAGAGTATTTGTTCTCTTCAAATTAAGGACTGGTCCATTCAAATTTCTTATAATTAAAAAAAAAATTTTTTACACTCTCATACAGCGAAGTTCTTTAACAGCTCAAAGAATTTTCTTCAATTTGAAGTCCTAAGATTTTAGGAGTCTTCATGTTCATAACCATATAAACACAACTGATCCAGCTGAGATGCTGGAAGTTGCACTCATGTAGCAATAGAGATCTCACACCTTCCATGCTCAACAAAAAACCTGTACATCTTCTCAAAAACAACAGACACAATAGTAGGCAGCTATAGAAACTACACACACTCAAAGTTTTAAAATATATGATAGCAAAATTGAATATGATTTGATATGTATATTTTCCAGAGATAGAACAAACTAGGTGCTATTAACAAGCCAGAATATTACAAACGTGCCTAATGAATCATTGAAGCAGAATTTCAAAGGTAAAATTAGGAGGTAAGTATTATACAATAAATGTGACCATTTCATTCTCATCACAATAGTTCCTACGTGCTATAACATTATGCCAATCTCTCTTGCCTTAGTTATCTAACCATGATGACAAAAAGTCGAATTCAACAGGTCTCAGAACACCGCATTTCCTCTTTCCTTTCCATCTTCGCAACCTCTTTCTACCAAGTTATAGACAATAATTTTATTTTTGGACCATTTCTTTTCCAAACCAAGATAAGTGACATAAAATAACTACATGCCCGTTTACGTGTTTCTAATAGAAACAAACAAACCTATGAAACCATGAAGCTTATCAGTCAGAAGTGAACCCGTATTCATAGTTTACCTCATCCAAATACTTGGAGTTCTCTCTTTCAGCTTCTTGCTTAGCTCGCAGCCATTCTTCCCTCAATTTTTCTTGTTCTCGTTTGTATTTCTCCTGTTAGGTTAGATTGAAGTGATACAAATAAATAAGAAACTTGGTTTACTTGCATTAAGATGTACTACTCTAATTTAATTTATTTTGTAAAAGACCAGAGTGGTAAAAACATGCTTGATTTCCATCAGGACGTCAGGTGTGCCGAAAGTGAATGATATCCTCTCAAATACAATCAAAAGGAGTTCAGTCATTGATTTCAGAGAAGCCAGGCTTCTTGTATGCTAACCTAACAACTGACCTCACATCCATTACATTCCCTTTCTTTACAGTTCAGTTCCAAACTGAAAAAATACCAGCTATCTGAAGTATTTATTGGAAGACAGTACTCATATTTAACTTGGAACTGGGCACAGTAATATGATAAAGTCATTACTAAGTTAAATATGAGGCAGTAATTTGGTTTCAGCAAGAACATTTGGTCTTTTGGAAGCTTATCCTAACAAAAGACAATTTTTGGACCTCTAATTTTGTCCTATGACTAGATTTAGTATGAAATCAAAGCAGTGTTTTAAGACATTATTTAAGGTACTCAATAAATATTTTGGTGGTTTTGTCCGTCACTCCCTCAGTCTTGGGGAAAACAAAATATGTAACATTAAATATTTTCCTTCTAAGGTTTTAGTTGTTTGTTTGTGTTTTTTTGTTTTGTTTTCTCTCCTCTCTCTTTCTTTCTCGCTCGCCTGGAAATAAACAAAGACTGGCTTATATTCCTTGCTCTGTTATTTAAAAAAGTCATTACTGGGATCATCAGGAAGAGGAACAACATTATGACTCAAGACAAATTTAGTTTTTCAGGTGGCAAAAAAAGGAAAAGGGAAAATAAAAGCAAAAGCAGAGGGATCAGATTGGTCTCAAAAAAGGGAAGACAAGTTTTACATTTTTCAAAGCCATCTCTCCACATGTCAAATTGTACACCAACTGTAAAAGAGACCACAAATATGTTTAGAAGGGCACAACTCTCCTGCCTCATAGGAGTTTGCAAGTTAAAAAGGAATAATAAAAGCCAAAACATTAAGAAAAAAACAACACAGAGCAATTAAGTTTTGCTTTGTCATTGAGATTTACTGCTGAATGCCTAAATTTTATTAACACTGCTTGTACAGAGTAAATGACATCTCTGTCACCTGGTTATCAAGAAACTCATTCTAGAGACAATTTTCTTACCAAAAAAAATCATATTCAAATGTGATGACCTAAGTGGTCTTTGCTTGTAACTTTTTTTTCCCCCCCCCGGTAAGAGCAAACCAGCCTTCTGATGACTGAGCACTTCTGGCTGTAGTGAATATACAAGTCTGGCTTTGATTTCATGAAGCTCACTAATGCATTTACCTCTTTTTTGCTAATAATTGCTAGTATCTTCTATCGTACAGCCCATCAAATGTATCTAAAAGTCCTCTTCAGCAACCAAAGAAGAGTTACAGAAATCAAGAAGTGTTTTCTTCCCTAATAGTTAACAGTTAATCCTATGATCATGAAGATTAACTATACCTGCAGTAAACGATCCTGCTCCTTTTGCCATTTTTCCTGTCGTTTTCGTTCTTCCTCTTGATCCCAAACCCGACGATTTGAAGCAGTAATGGATGGGACTGGGAGCTAATACAGCATGGAAATGAATGAATGTTATCATCCTACACATAATCAATGCTACATTTTAAAAGAGAAATAAAAGCCATTACAAATGCTATAGCTTTAGAATGACAAGAACTTAAATCAACTTCTTCAAAGGGACAGTAAGTAACCATTTTCTTAGACATTAAAAAAAGTCTTAGAGCTCTCTGATTTGATTGGAATTTTAAGGCAGTGTAAAAAAGCAATGGAAAGCTGCGGGCTTCTTGAAAAGACAAGTATTATACAGCTCATTAATTATCTGTAAACAGTACTTACATCAGGCAGTGCAGGCTCCGGGCCACCTGTGGGATTTGCAAGTAGAAGGCAAAACAAAACAAACAAAAAATAAAATTATTAGAAAGAAGCATACTAACTACCTTAAGACTTGCTCACCACTTTAACACTTCCTCAGGTGTGGAAAGTCTGAACTTCAGACTAAATTTTTACTTCCTTAGTAAGCCATGCTTGTAGCATTTGACCCTACTTCACTTACTTGAGGTCAGAATTTATTAGGTGCTTTCAACTAACGTGTGCAACACTTTAAAAGCTTTACATGCTTACAGGTGCTATCAGCATTTGTTTGAAATGGCAGTACCTCTCCCACTGTGGCAAAACAGAAGCTTCTTGCTGCAGTTTTCATATTGTTATCGCGAAAACCAACTGTTCAGCATGCCAGATGTTCAGAATGTTGCTCTGGTGTACAGCAGCTACTCACCTAATAACCTTGGCATGAACCAAGAGCAATAGGCAACTTCTACATCATGAAACTGTGCTTTTTACCCTTGCACCTGCTTTCCCTTTCCTACTCTGCAAAGCATACTTTAATTTGGTGAGCTCGTCACCATTTACCACAAGCTTTATGCTCTCTGAGGCTATCATGCTTGATCACAGCTTGTACCAAAACAATGATTAAAAAATAAACCCTACATATTCACAATTTTGTCTTCATTATCAGACCCGAACAGCTGCAGTAACAACAGGACAAATAGAATTGATCTCCTGTGCAGTTGCACCGGGAGAGATTAAAGGCAGACATAAGCTGTAGCTGTTTTGCTCCTCTCTTTTCTCACACCTGTAAGCTTATGCTGGCCTGCACAGATTTAAAAAAGAAAATTCTTCTATAACCTTGTAATGTCAAAATTCCAAAAGTTAAAAATGACCAAAAGTACACTGAGTGTACACTCCAGAAATACACCCTTTTCTTCCCCCTCAAGCAAAAATTCATCAAAAGAAAACCAAATTTCACAGCCAGCCTTAAAAAAAAAAAAAAAAACAGAGGGGAAGCCATCAAAAAAATACCACCTTATAACAGATACAGTAAGCAAACAGAACCACAAACACAGATATATGCTGTGGCACTTCACGTATCACTTCTCAAAAAATAAAAGGGCACACAACCAGGGGAATAAGTCTTAGCTCCGCTCAAATCACTGGCCAAATTCACACTGGACTTCCAGCAGGCCACAATTTCACTCTTTCAGGCTACAGCAAAACAGCAAGGCATATATAGTCTAAAGACAGCATTAGACATACATTAGTGGAAGTATGCAAGTTGTGACATGCAGAACACCGAAAAGCAACCTACAAAACCAGAACTGAGAGCCTCATTTATTTATTTATTTTTGCCTTTAAAAGCTAGCAGATTCAATTCAAAATTTGTATTGGTCTTCTCAGGATCTAGTGACTTCACCACATAGTGGAAGACCAGCCACAACTGTTTTCCATTGATTTAGAATATATAGAGAGCTGCAATTCAAAATAATAAAATGCTTTGCTCTGAATTTGAGTTTAACAGCTGTTTGAACTCTGCAATAAGCTTCTACTGGAATGTTCAACATTATTTTGTTTTGTAGGTAGCAGTAAACCTGAACAGCAAGTGCTATCCCTCTTACTCCTATCCAGTGGAGAAAAAAAAAAAAAAGGAATATGAACAATACAAAAGATTTAAATAGCTATAGATAGAACACACAAAGACCCATTACCACAAAGGTAGACCCATGAATTGTAAGAATAACCTGATGACCCTGGGGAAAGAAGGGAAATGAATTATGTTGCTTTGTCATAACTGCAGCAAACAATGCTGAAGAGGCAGAGTACCCAGCACCAGACTTGTTAAGAAGAGTGTGCAGCAGGAACATTTTCATGGAAGTACATGAAATGTTAGCTCTTTGGTTTACCTTGTTCAAAAAATTGTGACCGTCTTTTTAAGTTTTTCAAAGAAATTGGTTCAGATGCTATTTGAAAGATACAAAGAATACAGACAAGTCAATGAGGTGCTGTTTTGTTTTTCTTTCAAATGACTATCACCACTGGATAACAAAAGTTTGTTACACCTCCAGTCTACGGACATGTCACAAAAAAAAAAAAAAAGCCCCTGAAATAAAGGAAAACCTAATGTTTCATAGCAATAAATACAGTTTTTAGTAGGTTACATCATATACTGATTAGTATTTAATTTTATCACTGACACTGTTCAACTTTAACAACAGTACAAGCATCAAACTCAGACTCAGATTCTTCCCGTCTAATTTCAGCCACCTTGACTGAGATGCCAAATTAGGCTAAGGAGTCTAATCACCATTTAACGTCATCGGAAAGGCATCTCCAGAGGACAACTTATCTCTTGGGGGATACTTTTGTATATCACCAGGCACATGCAAGATAAAATGAAATACAGAGTTCCCATTTAAGGCTTACTGTTCCATTTGGAAGTGTAAATACCTGGTTTCTCTCACTGTCATCAAGTAAGATAATTGTTCATAGCATCATAAGTAATTGTTGTTCATGCCAGAACCATCAATATCAATTTGTCAGGAACACAACTAAGAGTAGTAATAAAAAAAACAACCACAGCTTTCTCCCTTAACGTCACAACTAAAACAGAAAAGAAAATGGATACTCTACATTTTTTTCCTGGGCAGTGAAATAAACTGATACTCATACTGATCCAGTCTCCACACAATTCAGTAGCAATTATAACAAATTCTGCACCTCCTCTTTCTCTTTCATCCCTACTCTACATTAAGTTTACAACCACTAATGCTGAGACAGGGGATTTGTCACTGCTTTGTTGTCAGTTCTCCAACTGTTTAGCACGTCAAGGAAGCAAACTACACCCAGTTTGGATGCAATTAGATCTCTGTGATACCTGTCTAGTTTTTAGTTCATTAAGGTCTCACTTAGCCCACTATATAAAGCTTGCAATAATTACAGGTTTAGTATCTGTGCTTCTTCCAAACCCATACAATTAGAAGATGAAAAGCAATGGTAGTTTACCTCTTTGTTCATTAGATCCAAGGTCTCCTTGCATTCCATTTATCAACTTTGTTTCCGTACCCTAAAAAATAAGAGATACGGGACTCAAATTCATTAGACTTGTGGAAGTTGATCCAATTAAACTTCTCCCCTGACAGGAGCTGTGTATCATGAAACATTTGATTTCAAAATATTAGAAATTCCACAGGAGGATATGAAAACTAACTAAAACTTCTTGAGTATATTATATGATAAAATGACTGGAGGCATTTGTGGGGATTAGTAACAGGCTGTGAATTGGTAGCTGAAGTAAAAAACATTAGTTTGCAAGAAAATGCCAGGAGACAAGACCTTCCTATTTCAGCTCCTGGGCAGGCAGGTTAGGAGATATTTGCAGGTAATTTGAAAGAACATTACTGCTGTTGCTTTGGACTGCAACATTCATTTACACTAATGATGGAGGTTATATGCTTTTCTAAAGAATAAGCAATGTACACACCTCAGCTAACTCAGTCTTTAAATATTTTAATATTTTTCATAGTCTTTAGAGCACCGTATATATCTTACTACCTAGTTATATCTCCATATTTGCAGTAATCTTTATGTTCCTAAAAATAAGCAATGCAAGTTAAGAAAAAGAGGTTTTCTTCCTCTCCATCCTTCCCCTTATCAAGGCAATCAATTTTCACTTCTCCTCCCCAACATCCCACAACTGTTCAAAAATATACTCACAGAATTCTGAAGACTGCTGGAGAATTCTCTTTTTGATGATATGGTTGAAACATTTGAAACACATTCTCCAGAAGTTGCATCAATCCATTTATTTTCAGATGTACCTATAATGTTGGTACCCATACTGGTGAGATTGAGGATTTTATGCCTTACATGTGGCAGGGAAGGCTGGTCTTTGCCCCAGTCTTTTGGTATGTGGAGATCAAGAAATTAACGTAGACAGTAACGTCAAAGAACAGAACAACACTTAGCGAAAACACATTAAAATAACACAAGAGACACATAAACAAAGAACAAAGACGGAGAGACGCAAATCAGGTAGAATTTGTGGAGACAGGAAAAGGGGCTTTTACGAGCAGACCGCCTTCCCCAAAAATACAAGTGTTAGTCAGAAGCCACAAGTTTGCCAGGTATTTTGCTAACATGGACTATCGCAGCTCAACATTAGAGAGTAATTAGTATTAATTGAAAACTATTTCATCAGCATTAGTAATGATCAAGAGAATTCTTTCAACTTTACTCACACAAGGTAATATTTCAATCACACACTATTCAGGGAAGTGTCATTTTCACATCCAAGATACTCAGGAAACACATAGGGCAACATTAAAAAAAAAAGGAGGGGTAGTCTGAACTAGAAAAAAATTATGAGGGGAAGAAAAAATCAACATCCTCGCTCAGCCTCCATAATTCTCCCCATCCCCAATTCCCTCCAGTTTATTCAATGAACTCTCCAATAGTTTTTCACTTTTCATTTTTGCTAGGTCCTGTAGAAATCATGATTTGTTTTGTGTCTCTTCCCCAATCAATTATTTTCCTTTTTTTTCTTTCTCCACTTGCTGTTAAATTTTTCTACCCAGTATCCCACTAAAATAATGTTTTGTCATTATACTCTCAAATAAGTCACTGATCACTCTCCCAATTCTGTAAAAGTTATTTCATGATTTTGAAAGGGTATCCTGATCAGACCCATGGCAAGCCCAGAGACTAAACAAGGCCTTCAGCTGGGACGGAAATCTTCACTAGCTAGAGTAGGTACTACCATTCTGTTGAGATTACGGCATCACAATATTTGGGTAAATGTTTAAAATCATAGTAGAGAAGAGCTATATCAACCACAAGCTCATACACCAGCAAAAACCCTTCATGAAGGTAAACAGGCAAGATTCTCCTTTACTGAAGAAAGGAACTGCTGCTGTTTCAGGGACAGAGGCTCCAAACTTGACTATCTTCTAGAGACTAGCCCCTCTTTGTTTTTGTGGTATGGCAAGAAATGAACATTTTATATTTCCTTGTGTGTTGGTTGTACATTTTATTTGTTTATTCAGCTGTGTGTTCTGTTAAAAGCAGGACAGAGCACTGGACAGAGGTAAGTTCAATGTTTAGTAGACTTGCTTGCCACAACATTTCTAATGCACAAGGAGTTAAAAAAGCCAAGCTGTGTTAAAATGCAACAGACCTTAGCAAACTACTTAGCTCAGATACATGTTACTTCTGTAAGGGTAATAAGGACTCTCAGCTGTCAGGTGCAGCAGAGAGGAAGCTTATTTGCCTTACAGAGCATACTGTATCTGCCCTATGAAACAACTCACCATTCTTTCCATATCGTCTAACATCCATGACCAGGTTTCCAGTTTCTAGTGCTCTGTTGATGGCTTCTTCCCACTGACTATAGTCCATATGTGAAACCTTTGTGCCGTTGATAGCAATGATCTCATCATCTACATGCAGCTGAGAAAGTTTTGCAGGGCTACCTGCAGAAAACAGAAGGAAAAAAAAATATCTTTTAACAGTTATTTATTTTTAACCACAGCTGTTACTGAGGGAATAAAGTAGCAATTCATACAGAGAAATGCTTATTAGTGGATATTCAGAAAGTCTTGAAAAAAATGACAGTACTGTGAATATAAGGTCAGTAAAATCAGTTAATATTAGAGTAGCATTGAACTTCAAAACATAAAATGACAAACGTTAGTCTTTGGGGTTTGCAAGCATTCACATTTAATAAACAGGCTCTGGTTAGCCCTCTTCTGCCTTTCTGAAAGAGACAGGCAGCACCACAGTGTCTGTAGCCAACAATTAGCTGAAGTTCAGACAATGTTTGGGTAATCCTCCTATTTGCCCAAAAATATACTCCATTTAATTAATTCCAGTATAAGATGACTTCCTCATTCTTATTTACATTTTATGGGCTCTATTGACAAGAATATGCTGCTATGTTGCTTTGCTAACAATATTTTATAGCTCTGAGTTGAGTGGCAATTGGTCTCACTCAAGGTATTGCTAGGTGCTGTCCTGTTAAGAGTTCTCTGAATTGTATTTATTTTAGCAGTGCCTACAAATCAATTAAGAGTAAATTTTATTGCCATTTGGACTTTGGATTTTAATGATATTTTGCAAGACAGGCTGCACTTTATACTCTTTTTCACTTATTACTATGTGCTGGCTGGTGATCTAAGCAGCCTAAGGACAGAGTGCCTACAGGACTAGGACTAGTGAGTGGCCCCACCTCCCCACACACTTTTTTAATTCAGAAAATGGATGAGTTGAGAAGCTCAAACTTCCTTACATATAATTTTATGAATTATGTCTGAATTGTTCTTCCATTAAGAGTAATTCCCTTAGCAGAACAACCACATTTTCACTTTCTTTTTTCTAAAGATTGCAAAATAAATCCTTATGTTAATAACATCAAACAAATTTGAATTACACAACAGAAACTTTTTCCAGATTAAGTCGAGAAATGCACACATCTTTTTTAAAATATACCAAGGACAATGCTATATTTCATTATCATAAACAGATGTGGACAAACATGACAGAAGAATTTAGACATCATATGCTTCATTCTAATCTTCTGATTCACTAGAACAATGCTGTTACAAGTCTGGATCTAAGGATTCAAATAGCTCTTAAATTTCCTGGATTTTAAGTAAATTAAGTAACAAAGAAGAGCTATGCTTCCTATATTATACCAAGCAGTGATCCTGCGCGTTCACAAAAAAATGGCACTACCGTGTTGGAAGAGCTTAGATTCATATTCTGTTTTTCTGCATTCCTAAGATATCGACTGATATTCCATTAGAAGTTACCAGCAAATCTTTTAAAACACACTAAATACTTTTAAGTAATGTTAAAAAGAAGAAACAAACAAACAACAACAAAAATACACAAGTTTTCATTTGGAGGAAGAAAGCATGGGCAACAGCTAAATTGAAAAAAAAAAAGCATCTCCTTGGAGCCAGGAAGATGTCAAAGAATTAATAGATTTGAAGATCAAATTGAATGTACCATCAACAATACTATCAAAGTTACTAATATTGAAGTCACTACTTGCAACATTTTATAAACGTTTGTAAGTGTCTTATGTGACAGTTTAAGATTTTTTGTACCGTATAGTTTGAAAACATACATGGAACTTTATACTCATTGTACAGAGAATGCTACAGACTCAGAGACACTGGAACTGTTTTGTGTTGTGACAAGATGAGCACTAGGAACCAAGTGGTGGTCATTTTACTCAAATAATTCAGTTGGGATGACATTCAGCTCAGAGAAATACCTCTGGGTTACCAACTCACATTTTAGGAAAGGAAGGAATTTTAAGATGGCATAGTTCTTCCCATAATATCACCAGAAAAATATATGCAGACCACACCACAACCATTCAGATTTGAACAAACAGCAGTGGTCTCCAAATTGCAAATGTACTTAACACGTTCAGGAAAAATTACACTGCACAATTTTTGTCACGTAACTTTGCTGGCTAGCCTTCCTACGCTGCCTTTGCAGTCTGTGAATGAAAGGGCTTCTCAGGAGTGCAAGCTAAACCACCTATATTGACTGGGCTTTTGCTCCAATTCAACCTTAGAGAAGTCTGCAGAGATTAGCTGGCTATTCAGGTTCCTAGAGCTGTATGGTGCCAAACACCTTCCTTGAAGTCCTCCAAAAGCATAGAACTTAGTGATAATTTCTTGTCATGAGTATAGAGGATTTAGCTTAAATTACATTTAAAAATATATATAAAAAAAAGAAAAACCACAGTATGGCTGTTTTACATAAATTTCACTGAAGGTAGAGGATTTTTTCTTAGCCCTCTCAAAAGGAGACCAAACAAACAAAAGAAAACTGACAAATGCAAAATAATATTTCTCACTCATTTTCCATCCACATTTATTTCTCTCTAACCTACCCTCACCTGTTGTTACTACAGCAAATACCCACTTGTACTCTTAGAAAATAATTAAAACATGTAGGAAGTGGAATAAATTTACTTCATCTTACATGCCTGTGAGTGTTCAATCACACACCTGTACATTCCTACATCAATGTAATCTCAAAAATCAATTGCAAATGGGGCAACATATGGCAGGTGAACACAATACAGTGGTTATAAATGGAGACATGGAATGTTCTGACGCAGATATATAGGAAGAAGTTTCTCCAAGAGGAGAAATGCATTAGAGTAGACGGCACAGAGAAGCTGTGTAGTCTCCATCCTTGGTCTCAAAACCAACTACGTAAGGCCTTGAGCTCTGGTATGAATTCAGTTCTGACACTTCTTTGAGCAGTGGATTGCTCTAGGTCCTAAGGACCCCTTCCAGTCTGAATTGTCCTATATCTTATTTTTAAAAATAGAAAACAACATTCAGTAGCCCTCAGCTGAAGGCATATCTAACTCTTCAATGAGCTGTCTACCTCCTTCATCTTTCATTCCTTTAAAGGAAATTATAGCTATCACATAAGGACACAAGTCAATTACTGAAAAAGATGTTAAACATGCTAGAAATAATACCAATATATAAGCCACCAAAACCTCGTCATTTTGTCTTTATTCTTTGCATCCTTCATTGTGAGAATGATAATACAGCATAACCCAGGTAACAGCTACAAGGCAATGACTTTCTTGCCTACAGAACCAAGGCACAGAGTTCATTTGGAACTTTGTGAATGACAATTAGTAACACCCGGTATCCCCAGGTTTCTCATTTACAGCTGGCAGTGCAGAAAGACAGTCCTTTGCCCCCCAGTAACAAAGTTAAACCAGAAGCCTAGCAACAGATTAAGTAAATTAAGTTATTCTTCACACAAACTAATTATTAATGGTCATAATCTAATTATGAAAAGTACTCAGCTACAATGAAGAGAGCTATAAATTGACTTTAAAACAAAAATCAAGGCTGCCATGTAAGTACAGTTAAGTGGTATATTTTCCTCTCTGGAAAGAATAATGAAGGGCTAACTAAATGAGGAATTTCCAGTTATTACTCTTTTCTCAAAATGAACTCATATTTCATGTAAGAAAGGGGACAATATATATCATATTAAATATAATCAAGTATTTCTGACAATGTGAGAGATCACTGTTCAGAGAATAGGTACTACATGCGATTTACTTGTTGATTTTGCACTTTTAGTTTTTGTTTTTTACTCAAGAAAACTGAGCTTGTTCTCTGCAGGAGACTATTAAAGCTTAGAAATGCTTCTATACGCTTTATTTCAACACAAAAACTTTTGTTTTTCCTCAATACTAACACATCTGAAAAAATGCACTGGTAATCAACTAAGAAATTGCAATTGCCTAAAAATATTAACTGTCTCCAAAAATATAAGAGACTAAGAAAGGTAAAATCAAAGTAAAAATATTAATGTCTAACAAAGTTTGAATTCATGTTTTATAAACACATGAACTCCTTTAAAATAAGGTGAAGGGAACAACCTCGATGTCAAAAATCTGCATGTACGCTTTACTACTGTTCTGTACGAGAGTTGATAAACCCTTGACTAATCATATTTATAGTTTTTCAGTAGTCATAGGAACATTCTTGATTTGGAAAATGCTTTTTAGTATTTCTGAATTAAATCCATTCAAAGAGATTATGATTCACAGAAATACAATAGTAAACAAAATATTATTTTTTTTCAGTTGTCTACCTGATTATTATTATTATTTTTAATATTCCCAATATCCTTTATGGTAAATATCTTACTTTAGAAGCCTCCGCAAACTAGATACAAGAACAAAAGTTTGTACACTTAAATGCACATTTACCTTCTTCGACTGTTTGTACAAAGGCCCCTGATGAAGTCCAATTTGTTGTAAACCCGAAGTCGCGACTGTGGCCAGGTCTCTGGTTTACATTGATTCTCAATTCACTGTACTGTTCCTGAAAAATAAAACATGACACTACAGTATCTGGTATCACGGGAATCTAAATGAGGGAAAGTTTATCCACTAAATAAGCAAGGCTACTCACAATGCGCACTTTAATCATCTATTATTAGAATCACCAACAAAGGAAGCAGCATTGAACTTTGTTAACTAACTAGTTTGTTTTATATTCAAAGGTGTGTTTTCAGTATACTTTTATATTTTGGCTATACATATAACATACTTAGCCATGCATTTTTTCTAATTTAAATATTTCATGAAGAGATGCTACAAGATGTAACGTGTTTGAGGAAACAAACCCTAAATGGGTCATCATGGACAGCCTTGTGAATTTGTAAAATCCAGTGCCTCCTGACCAATCGTCATTCAAAAAGGAACATGAAGAAAAACAGCAACAACAAAACAAATAACTAATTCAATCTTACTTTTTCTTCCACATACTACAAAAGTCATCATCAGTTTCCTTTGCAGGCTCAATGCTGCAACTAGGTTTTCTTGGGTGAACAATCACGTTTTCTGTTTTGTGGAAATATTACTAGTTTCCTATGTATTTTGTAATGGAGGCCTTAGATAAAAATAATCCCAGAATTAACTAGAATCCAGTTTTTCCATTCTAGAAGGCTTTCAAAATCAGAATGAAACCCTACATTTACATTTTAAACTACAGAAATATTTGATTTGGAATGCATTTTGGAACACCTGCTTTCAATCTCACAATATATTATGAACATGTGGTGCACACATTAACATTCTAATGTGAACTCATTAAAAAACAATTAAAATACTCAAATGCATGTTATTCACTTCATTATAATGGAATTGATACTGTTATAAAAGGAAAAAAATAAGAGACTTCTGTCAAACACTTGAAATAGATATATTCCAGTAATGTTGCATGGAGGAAACCCCACATGCTTATATGTGCACTAAACATACATCTACATTTTAGCTCCCCAGCAAACCAGTGCTCTGAAGGGTGGGATTCATTTTCCCTAACTGCAAATATTTAGAAATTCAGGTATGTAAGCCAATTCCCCAGAACTCCTATCCTGGTCAAAGAACACAATGAGCTGCTTTACAAGTAGAAGTAGGTAGCTGGCTTCTCAGGGCAGGAAGCAGCCAGAGGAGTCTTTAGCAGTACCCAGGCATTGGGTCCAGAGGACAACAGTATTGCAAGGGAGCATCCCTTCATTTCTCCCTGTGTTACACAGACATGTTCCTGACAAAAATCTCCCAGTCAGAGCCCATGGTAGAAACTAAACCAGATCCTTAGTTGAAATATTTTCCACACTGAAACAGATTTTTTTTCTATTCATCCCACCTCCTTAGGTGAGTAACAGTACTTTAAAAGTTATTCTACTAATAGGTTAGCACATACATAGAAAGCTTCTGAATTTGATTGTGTTCCTGGAAATCGCAATCATCAGTATTTTTTATTTCCGCCATCCCAAACCAATTATTTTTTAAACCTACCTTGTGAAAGGAGTAATGCAATTTTGTACCTGTCTAAATTACGAAGCTCAGTGTAGTCTCCAAAACATTTAGTACTCTACAAATCTGGTGTTATTACTGTGATGACTAGTGAACTATCAATTGGTCAGCTCTGGTAATGATTTACAAACATATCAAATAGAACTTGCATTCTTTAAATTAATAGTTTGATGGACCACACAAGTGATTTTTTTTTTTTATTATTTAAACACTTTCCTCATTTACAAGCAGGACAGTTTATAACTTGGTGACCAATTAGAGAAAAATAGAATCTAGTATGCTTTGCTCTCATTTGGCTCACCTGAAGGGAAACAAAGGACCTATATCTAATTTATGTTTTCACTGATTAGAATAGCAGCTCCTCTGCCTGTTTTTGCTACAATACAGAAAAAGGATCATAATTTCTTTGCTTATACAATGATCACAGTTTCAAAAAGTTATAATAATTTCATTGCAATAGCTAAGGAGTTATCAGCAGTATTAAACTGAAATGTGTTACTTTTTCACAGGTGATTAGGAAGAAGAATGAATCAAAATTACTGAATACATAAAAAAGATGGTGTGTGAAGTGATTTCATCTATCAGCATCCAAAGATTTTTTTTTTTTATTGTCTTCACTCAAGCTACTGACAACTAACTTGTACAGCAGTGTCAGGAATGCAAAGTATTCACCTTTTAACATGTCAAGGGGTATAAACCACGTCATTACATCTTGCAGAAAGGTGGTGGCAGCTAAAGCTATTGCTACTCATTTTTCACATGTGAAACATGAGATAAATTGAAAGAAATAGCACTTGATGTATTTTTCCAAGGTGCTGAAAGAACACTCAAAAAACAGCTTCTGGATAAGCACATACACAAGAAGATGGTAATTTCTTTTTAAATTCATTAGTATGAATACCAAGTAGAATAACTTCAAGTACATAATTACAAAACCCAAAAAGGCTTAAGCCACAACTAATGGAAAAAAAGGATATTGTGATATTAATGTATAAGGTTGACATTTGAAAAACTGATCTTTATTTTCCACCAGCAATTTAAAAGTGCAAATGAATGCTACAGCAGCTCAGAACATTCATCTAATTGGCATTCCTGATTGTACGCACAAAGTGCTGATTGGGAGAATACCAGAAGCCTCACAAACATCAAATTAAATATTTAGAGTATCTACTTTGAATTTGATTTCTAAATAAAAGCATGAGAGAGAGAGAGAAAGAGAGAGGAAGAGAGAGGATTCAAAGATCCATATATACATTCTTTCCTAATGCTCTCTTTCCCCAGAATTAAATCAAACATAATAGGAGTTCTTCAAGTTGATTTCTTACCACTAAGGAATACATCTATGAGGTCTTGCATGGGATTTTTATTTATTTATTTGTTGACTCTGCTGCAGCATTCAGTTACGCTAAGCAGTTATGACTTCCACACTTACCAGGGATTTTGAATCCTCATGCTCTGGCAGACTCACATTTTCTGCAGAAGATGTAAGTGAAACAGAATCAGGAGGAGAGCAATATTCTGGTTTCAGAATACTGCCTATGGCATCTTGGTCTTGGGGTTTTACAGGTAATGTCAAACTAGGAGTAGGTGTTGTCTTAATACCTTTTTCCTCCTCCTTCTCCTCACCTCTACTTCCATGTACACTGATAGAGAGAGAGTATGAAGAGTCTGGTAGTGAAAATGAACTGCTAGTTAACAAAGTTTGAGTTCTTTTAGCTTTTTCCACTTCTCCATTGTATTTCTGGGTATCATCCATCTAGGACAAAAATAAAAGTTTGGTAAATATGTGCTTTAAAAAAATCCTTTATTTTTCAGCAGCTTAAATATTTAACAAAGTACTCCCTTTCATGCAGCTTCTAGTCACTGTACCCATTACTAATTATCCACTAAAAAAAAAGCAGCAAGACTTTTTCCTTAAAATACTTGCAGAACATATAGTATAGACTCATTAAAATAAATTTGTTAAAATGATCTCCTTAGAAAAATTTGCATGCTTCTCCTTTAAAAACTTGAGCCAGATAGGGATTTATGAAAAAGCTATGAAAATCTATGTAATTATGGAAAAATCAATTTCTGTGTTTCAGTGCTTTACTGAGCAGGCAAATTCTAGGCTGGAGTAAAGCTTTAATTTCAAACTCAGCAAAGCAGAAGAAATTTATATCACCTGAAAATTTGTCTTCAACAATTATGTTAAATTAGCTTCAGACAGTTACATCAAAGGCAGGTTTTCTCTCTTCAGAGACAGATTTTTTTTTCATTTTTAATGTAAAATTTAATATTAATTTAAAATTTTATTCTTCTCCCTTTATAATAAGGAGGTATTAGAGATGATAAAGATTATTCTACAAAAAAATTAGACATTTCTACAAATGCCTTTAAATATAGAAACACAAAAATCTTACATGACAGAATCACTTGCTGTATTAATGCAGCCTTCATCAAACAAAAATAACATTTAAGCTCTACTGTTCACCCAGCTATACGAGACACCAAACATTTATAAACTTCAGGAACTAAAGAGAATTTTACCGTGAGTGACCGTGGAAGAGAGGAGATTCCTCTTGAGTGGACACCAAAAGGTCTTGGTGTAACCACGGATGTTAACCTGGAGGTATCGGTTTTCTGGTAACTTCTAGGGAGAGAAGCTGAAACCTGAGCTGACCCAGTTTGAGCATTCACTGAGTAGCGCGTAGACAAAAGAGACGAGCTCTGCTCTTCTGCCAGGCTCTTTGAGGGAGCAGGAGCTTCACGTGTGGCATAACTCTCCTGCTTTGGCAGATGATCCTTGCTCCTTTGAGCAGCAGACAGGCTTTTGCTGTCTTGAGTGCTATAGGAGGTTTCTTCTTCCAAAAAGTAATCTTTCACCACTGACCGTGTAGGAGGTTCTTTTTCTTCAGTAAACACATCATCGTTCAGTGAATACGTCCATCTGTGTTCATATTTTCTCTGCCTGTAGGAGTCTTGATCTCTATCCTCCCTATGGGGACAGACCTTATTAAAATCCCAAAGTGAACAGACAAACAGGTGCACCCTAGGTGTTTTAACTACTGATTTTTCAAGGCAGAGCATAAACTGAGAAACACACTTCTGGTAAGTAAAAAAATGAAATCACTTAAAATATATTAAAATATTAGTATTTTCAAAGTCCACCTCCCCACCCACCCCTACTCCCTCTGAACACTCAGGCATACTACTGCCATGTTATCAGGTTGCTACCATGACAGACACCATCTCTCTGCCAAGAAAATGATACAGCTATTCAAGTTACATATCTTCAGAATTTCAGATTTCATTGAGGAAAGAACGTGAGAAAGGTAGTCACACAACATTGCCTAAACTGTATATTCTCTTGATGTTTCTACTCTCTGAAAGTACTATACTGTCCTTTTATACAACGAATGACAGGGTGCCCTGAAGTTTAGATTTCTTTCTTTATTTTTGGATTAATTCCCTTGTCAAAAAGAAACCACCACAGGGATAGATAATCCTTAACATATGTATTATAATTTTTATTTATTTATTTATTTTAAGATGTTGGCAATACTGGACATTAAATAAAATTTGAATCCATATTTGTCTTAAAGTTGTTGTCCTCACAAATACATCAAAAAAATTCTCAAAACATTATGTTTTGAGACCTACTTAAATTTCATTTATAAATACGTGCCATATGCATATTCCCTTCTTCACCTCAGCCGTATACATTTAAACTTAAAAACAAACTTAAAAAAAATGACTGTCATCAGGAGATATGGTACTGCACTACTCTATTGAAACTTGACTCTCCAGAGAGAAGTTTGTTCTTGAAATACCCAGAGGAACAATAGGGGATACAAAGGAAATAAAGTAGAAGTTGACCGTTCTGTGATATACATAAAAATTCTGACTGTATTTATCCACTGTGGTCAAGAGAATAGCAAATTCAGTGTTAGAGGAAATAAATAGTTAAGTTGACCCAAGAATAAAAGAGGCAGTTAACTGGCTTAATTCTCTATTGTTTTAACCTCTTTAAATTGGATACAAATACTGACTTTGCAGTACATTTCTTCATGGTTTGAATAAAACATTTATAGAGCCAAACTGTTTATCATTCTATGAAAACAATGTATTAGCAGATCATATTCTGCCCTTTAATTGCCTAGATTTTTACTCTAGAATTTGGAACTAAAATTGTTGATATTTCTGAAAAATCAATTGCAACTTGCCAGTAAAAACTGCTCAAGGGAACTAAAAGAGAACTAAAATACTCAAATTTAAGTTCTACAATTTAAGACTCCCATTAGGGTCATTACCTTTCCTGCTCCATTTCTTTCAGGGACTTGCTGTTCCTATCAGAGACCTCAGAGGCTCTCCTTTCTATTTCTTCTCTTTCTTCTTTTTTCTTTTGCAACTCTGAAGTGAAGCTCTTTCTACGATTCTTCCATTTTGCTAGATCCTACAAGAATCACAAGAACAAAGAGAATGAGATTTTTTCAAGACCTTGCACGTCTACAGAAGCATCCTATCTCAAGCAATCTGATGCCTTGATTTTACTTGCATGTCTGCATCAAGGCCACATTTTCATGCACCTTCCCCCAAGTGCTTTTATTTTCACCCCTTGACATTTTCAATTATTAATAATAGTTCACACAATGACAGATAGTTGAAAACAAATGTAAATGGCATGTGAATTTCTTTGTTGCAGGCTTTGGTGTTTTTTTTTTTTTTCCTTCCCTCAAATCACCAGTATGTTAGACTGATATATTAGCTTGAGAATAAACATGCCTTAAAGTCTAAATTGAAAACATAAGAGATCAACTTCTATGCTTTGTTTATTTCTGTAAAACCACAATGTGAACTGGCAATCTTCTCCATGAAATACCAGAGCTGGGTTAAGAGAACTATTGAATATTGGAACTTCTGTGAACTGCTTGCTTGGTGTTCTGTTGTTAATTTCAGCCTCTTGTTGGTAATCATTGCCAATCACAGATTTTAATTTAAGAAAAGTCTTCACATAACCTTATAATGCTGTGCAAAGTTATCATATCACTTTACAAGCTGAATTTAAGACAAAATTATTGGGAGATAGGAGCCTCAAGAATTTGCACAAGGAAATATTTCCTCCTCTTCTCCCAAAGGATCAAATTCTCAGACATTCCAATCACTTCACAAACAATATCCACAAATCTCAGGCATGTCAAATTGTGCCCCAACTATTATGTTCAGAGAACTCATGCCTAAAGGCTTTACTGTGACACCACAACAATACACAATACATACAAACCATATAAAAATATTAAAAATGATTACAGTTGACTTAGACATCCTCCAAAACACTAGTAGTTGCATGGAATGCATAATTTTAAAGCATGATCCCATAAATTGCTGCACATATTCCCAAATCCATTTTTCTAGGGGCACTGAACATTTGCAGCACCTTTCCCTTTAGCTGGGCATGTCAGGAGGAGTAAAAAGAAGTATTTACTTCTTGCCACTTCAGATCTTGTTCTTGCAGCTGTTCTTTTATCCTTTGCAGTTCTTCATAACGGATTTTGCGCATCGACTGCAGCTCCTCTGCACTGACATCATTCAAAGATTTACTCCTAGAAAGAAAAAGACTACTCAGCTTCATCATATCATAGCCATTTGTGCGAGTGAAACCTTCAACAGAGATTCATATTAGTACAACTGAATGTTCTTAAGTGTTATTTCAAACAGAGCAGGAAACACGGGCAGCTGAATGAGCAAGCCTTGGACGGGACCTAGTGCCAGCACTGAAGTCAGTAGTTGCATATTTGGGCAAATAAAATCAGGTTAATTGAATAACCAGCTCCTCCTGCAGCAGCTCCATGCTGATGATTCACATTCAACTCCTCATGCCTACTACTTCTATTTGATTTTTTTACTCCATTTATTGACCTTGCCTGTTTCTTTTATATAAAAGCCATTGTGTGCCCCCCCTCAAATCCAAACTCCTATTATTTCACTTTTTCTCTCCAGCAACAGCCTCAGAATCACCTCCTATATTTTTCTTACTTAGGCCTATTCTAAAATCAAGTTAGTTATCAATGCACATTTCTAAAAGATAAAAGTGATTTACTGCTAAATACTCAGTTCAATCATGTTATAGACCTCACTAGTCTATATCACTCCTTTCCAAAGTCTTCCTGACACTTTCAGTTCAAGCTAGGATTGCTAACACAGTCATCCTCTTGCTAATTTCTTCTACATATCAACAAGTTTTTCCATTAACTCCTCCTCACTAGTTCACTGTAATCTCAATTCCTCAGAATACACTCTTCATGTCTCCCCCTCCCCTTTAATTCTATTCCTGTTATTTTCTCCTTTATTCATCCATATTGCAGTCTCTCTATTTAAGCATAACAGAACTTTTAGCTTGGGTAAAGAACAAGACTCCTGCTCAGATTGATCGTAAGCCTGTTAGGCATCAAGCAACACGCAGATTTTCAGTGTTGTAATAACACACTTTGTAATGTTTGGTGCCATGATAAAGGAAAGCTAGGCTTCTGATTTTTTTATTATTATTATTTTTTCACAAAATGCTTTCATTTTTACTTATTTGTATAAAATTTAAGTGATGGAGTTCTAGCAGGACTTGAAACCATAATGCTTCTCTGGTATGACAGAAAATTAGGTTAAAAACAAAAGTGATTCAGCACAAGGCCTTGCTCTAATCTCTTACATACCAAGAGCTCTGAACTAACAAACCAGTCTCTTTCACTTCCTCCCAAGAGGCCCGACTTACTTACATTGGTAACATAAGACTTTGGACTTCGGCCTCTGGAAAAAAAGGCCAGAGCATTAACTCATTATTCCTGTTTGCTTGTTTATTTTCTGAATGGGAAGAATGCCACATTTAACAAAAATCTTACAGACATTATTGCAGAAACTCTTTTTCTTGTGTAGCTCTCTCTCCTTTCTTCTTTTTTTTTTTTTTCTTTTAATTGGCTAAGTTATATCACATGTAGAAAGGATTTTGAGCTAGCATCAAAACCATTCCAGATTCACTAAAGGAAACGTACATGATGGTTTCCTTTTCTTTCTCTTGAGTTTCTATATTTGCTAGGAAAATCTAGACCTAAATACAATATACCCTAAGAAAGGATATATTCACATATTCATACCAGCAAATAATATGTTAAATTCTAATCTTAGTTAAAAAAAATAAAAAAATAACTTGTGACTCAAGCCTCCTGAGTTTCCCTCCACTAATATCCAGAGCCTTCAGACACATTTCTTGCTTCTCCTAGCAGCATTTGTTCATTTACCAGCTTTTGGCTCAGGGTGAAAAAAAGAATATATAAATACAAATATATGTTCATATACATATGTTTACTTGCTTTTTCCCTCTTTGGAAAATATAGAGCACCATGCACAACCAAGTACTTAATATGCCATCACACAGTAAATATTCCTCTGAGCCAGTAAGTTGTAAACAAGGCTACATAAGTTAACATGGCACTAACCAGTTTACTACTGAGGATTCAATAACTAGAAGTCCAAAAACTAACCATAAAGTGTTCAAAAAACTCATCGATGTTAAGAGAAACTACAGGTGAATAACCTCAAAAGTACACTTTTCATTTATTTATGCTTTTACTTTGGTTCAACTACCACCTTTTAAAAAGTATGTGCCTGCTTTAAAAAAAAAAAAAAAAAAAAAAGAGAAAAAGTTAAGTAAAACAATTCTTTAAGTCCACTACCATCAGAATCAAAATATAAGATGTGAAGTAATAAATGCCAGGCCAAATGGATCTGACATTCATTTAAACTACCAGTGAAATGTATTAGCTTGTATATTTTATTCTGAGAGTTATTTGATACTGTATTACAACCTGCCCTATTTGAAAATGACAGATTTTCTATCATTTCCATGGTACATATGCATGTCATTAACTATTTTCAGAATTCTTACTGTGCAGTCTTTAAAATGAAATATTTACTAATCCTGCTTTACATTTCTGAATGTTTTAGAGCCTGATTTAAATACAGAACTCCAAATACTTCAGCTGGAATAGAATATCAGAGCTGACTTTCAAAATGCCTGATAACCATAACTGATATAATCTTAGATGCCAGAGAGGACTTTTGCCAGATGCATAGCTTTTAGTGTCTTACATTTGTTATGTAAATTGCTCAAGCACAAAACAACAAAGCAGCATGCACAAGTTGCTTTGAGCACAAGTTTTTAGCTGCTATGCATGCATGAAAATTTAAACAAGAGGCAAAAATAGTGTTACGATCTTTCAAGCTTTTACAAAAACTTACCCTTGCTCATCAGAAAGCTTTTGAAACAGTCTGAGAAATTAGAAATCAAAAAAAAAAAAGAGAAAGATTCAGTATCTTGCTTGATATTCATAACAACATTCATACGATCAGTACACCAGCACTCTTACTAAGTGAATGGGAAACTGTGAAAGCTTGACGACCAGACAGCACGGAGTAGCACATCAGTGATCTGACACAAGTCAGAAGCACATCAGGACTTGCATGATGTGTAAGTCAGGCAGAAAACTGACAAAACAAGGCTGCCTGTAAGTTTCCAATGCTTCCAATTTAGAAATACTGCATGAATAGAGCCTTGTTTTAGTTCTGCATCACTTATTCCAGTGCTGTTAAACAGCACGCTTGGAAGACACTCATTTCAAGAAATGAAAATGAAGCCCAACTTGAATCCCAAAAAGAAGCCTGGCTTACGAAGGCTGTTTTCTTGTTTCCTTGTTAATTCAACCACCCCTGATGCTAAATGCTAGTAATACATGGAATGGATAAATCTAAAAGGTCCTATGTACAACTTTACATATTAAGTGAAGAACCAAATACACTCAGCGTGATTCAAGAGGATTTTTAGTGTTCTTGAATATGAGCATTTTATTCTATTAATTCTGAAAATGTGAAATCTTTTCAAGCACTTCAGAAATATTCCTCAGTGAAGCTTGCATTTTGTTAACAGCATTAAGCTTAAAAATTAAATGTAATGACATCAAAGGTTCAACTGGAACATAGAAGTGTCTTAGTCACAAATTAAGGATGCACAGCTGGTAGAACTGCAACTTGCAATGCCGTATTTTCAGAGCCAAAAAAACATACAAAACTCCGCTCTCCCACAGTAAGTACAAAACCTACAGGAGAGCTAGGGAGTAGTTAAAAAAAAGACTTCAGTCACAGAAGAAAAAAAAACTTTGGGTATACGAGGAAAGGATGAGTATTAATTAGGACTGTATGAAATATGAAAGCAAGGAAAACTGCTGGTGGAATAAATATGTCACAGTAGAATTTAAAATCATATGGACACACACCTTGCATGCACCATAACTTCAGATAGGCAAAAAAGAGCACTAATATTTTTTCAGTCATGAAATAATCTCATAATAGTGGCAAGTCATTTTACAAACAAGCATTTTTAAACTTAGGTGCAAGCAATAATTGCAGAATGCACATCTCTAGAATTTGTTATTAAAGCATTCATGTCATGAAATTTATATAAAACTGCGTCTGAAGGAATGATTATATATTTTCTCCAAAATTGCAACCTATAACTAAAAACCATCAATTTTTGTTGAAAATATGGTATTGCAGTCATGAGCTTCTAATGAAAGCAAATAAAAAGCCTGTCCAGGATGACACAAACAAACTGCAGATTTGCACTCTACGAATGGTTCAGCACAAGATGATGCTTTTCTGAATGAAAACAGTTCAATTAGCTCAAGCACAATCCGTGCAGGACACAACCTGACCTCTCCACCATCTGACGCTTCTTGTGTCTAACTTTGCTGGCCTCTCTGATTGCTTCCCACTTTTTCCAGTCTTCTTCACTGCACGGACCTGGGATAAAATTTACTGGCTGTGCATTGCTTCCCACTTTCCAAGATTCAATCTTGCGTGTCAGCATGTCGTCCTTCTTATGTCGGGAAGACGGTGACAACACTCTGCCATTGCTCTTTCTGTCTTCTGATGTTGCACTCTTTTCAAGTAAACATAGAAATTTGGACCGTATTTCCTCAGGAAGACTCCAAGGATCAGGAAAGAGTGCAGGGTGATACTTGTCTGGAGCACCTGATAAAGGCACCTCTTTTTTCTGAGAGAGGATTTTACGAAAAATCATGTCATCCTTTTCCAAATCCGGAATTACAGTTTGGCCTTCTCTAGGCTGCAGAATTATTTCACCCTCTATAAGAGGCTCTTGCTCAGAGAATTTTTTAAAATACTGGGGGTCTTGGAGAACAACTTGATTCATATGGAAAGCCCCAGTTTTGCGAACAAACAAGTCATCATTTTCTAAATCTGGATACAGATATACATTTTCATTGTCGCCTTGGTCACATCCTGGTATAAAGGAAATATTCCTTCTACATTTTATGAGCCTAGGGCCAGAAGAAGGATCAACTTTGGTCTTCGTTTCAGAAGACAAGTAGTCAGAGTATTTTTGCAGGGCCTGAAGTAATGAAAACTGACTGAAGCGTATAAAACAAAAGGAGGGAAGTAAAATATCATTAACTAAAAAAATACAAGCAGATCACAATGTATTCAGATATATGCTTGTTTTAGATTTGCAGTATTCCAAGCAGTACAGCTACACCATTTGGCATTCACCACCACTAACCAGAACACAGCACACGTCAACCAATGTAAAGGTAACATGACATACTGACCTGCTCAGAAACAGCACACTTGCATGCTCACACACAAAGCCTATGCAGCACGTTATGCTTTCACATTTACATCTTTCAGAAGACCACCATCAACTTATGACTATATTTAAAAAAATAAAATTGTAATAGTAACAAAAAAGCACGACATCACAGGATGCAGTTTAATTTCATTTAGCTGTTGCACGTCCAGCCATTTCTTTCTGATGCAGCAAGAGTACAGCTCATGCAGCAGTATCAACCTGGGCTGGTCAGAAGCCTCCAAGATTTTTCCTTCTGTAATCTGTGTCAATGAGCTTCCCACATACTCAGCAGTTGGCTTATAGCTTTGATCCCTTCTGCAACTGCTGTTCCATTCGAAACTTGGTCTTGGTTGGTTAGCAACAATAGCAGAGCTTTGTTTATAAGCATATCCCTCATCCTCAGAATCTGATTTCTTTCTACTGTGCATAAGCACAAAGAATAAACAGAGGGAAAGAAAAAAAAAGTGTATGCATTGAGTAAAATGTATAGCATTGAGTGGAACAATTGTAATGAAAGAGTACTTCATTTTTTTTTCCTCAAGAAAACATACATCCTGCTGCGACGCAGGCAAAAATTAAAAATATTTTTAAAAAAGTCACAAAACAACACTTTTAAGGTTTTGCACACACGAGAGAAACAGGGCATGCATAAAAACGCACCTGAACCCTTGAATCTCTTTATACCAGGGTTTGAAAGAGGATTTCCTGATTTTTTTCCATAGTAATTCTTCTTCTGGAGTCCAAAACTTAGGAAGAAATTTGTCAAAAGCAACTACTGTATTTGACGCTGAAGAATTTAGCTTGCGAAAATAGAGATCATCTTTTTCAATGTTTGGGATGCCTATTTCTTCTTCCTCGTCCTCATCAAAATACCCAGATAATTCTGAAGAAATGTTAACTCTTGGTTTGTTTTCCACTTTAGTATCCAACTGCCTCTGTCTCCTCTGGTTACTGTTCAAAATACCCAATCAGTTAAGATATTTTAGGAGCAACTTGACAAAGAATGCAAAAATACATGCTTTTTGGCTCAGGAGTTCAACCTCATGAATGAAGCAAATTAGTTCTCAATTCCACCACTGCAGCACCAGAAATAATAACAAAAACAGTTAAATTGTTATATCAGCATCCTATCGCCTCTGACAAAAATACAAGATTTGACAGAAAAGGCATAGTAATTTACCATCTCTGTTAAAATGCTGATTAGAATGCTAACTTTATGAAGTTATTTATGGACTGCAATTTAGGTAATGCAATAGTTACTCGATCTTGGGTTAGTATCTCTGACCTCAGTGGTTTAAGCATTGCAGCTAGTGGACCAGCTGGATCATTTTCTTGTGAGCAAGATTTAGAAGAGTCATTGCGCAACATGAAATGATGTCCAGGTGCAGCAGAGCTTACAGGGCTCTTTTTGACTAGAAATCTACGTTTTGCTAAGTCATCCATAACCACGTCGGGCAGCTTTCTTTCATCTTCTGAATCAGAGCCACTGTCATACTCATAGATCATCTGGAGGGAAGCTGGATTTGTGAGCCCACACTCTGCTCTGCTATTTTGGCAGGAAGCTACGGGATTCCTTTCATGTCCACTGAGGTTGACCAAAACAGGAACAGAATGAAGACAGTGAAGTCACGAAGGTTATGACAAAACACAAGAATTGCCCACTATTCTCAAGTGTGTAAACTAAGAAGTTGGACAACAGAAATTCATCAGCGTATATTAGAAAGCTTTAACAAGAAACTAAAGCTGTACATCTAACTTGCTCAAGACTTCACTTAAGACCACTTAAATCCTGTGTGAAGTTTGATGAGCCTCAACACATTACTCAAAAACCAGAAAACCAGTTATGTGGAACAAAGCCAAACAAATTAAAGAACAACAGGAAAAAATAAAACAAAAATTAAAGACCTGAACATCAACCACCCTCCCCTTAAAATATTGAATACTTTACTTTCAATTATAGCAACAGCAGCTTTTCTTAAGTTCATGAAGAAAACATTTATTAAAATGATAAATCAAGGTCTGCTTTACTAAGACTTCATACACCAGTACCTTGAAAATGTTCCATCTGACTCTGTGTAGACAGGACTTGCCCAGCTCCTCCTATTGTCCTCATTCTTCTCTGTCCTTTTCTTCCTTAAGGGTGCTGGCATATACGTTGGCTGCTTGTTTTTGTTGGGTAAGAAGCGATTGAAGTCAGTAGTAGGTTTTGGTTCAATCACAGAAATCCTTCGGTAAGACCTGTCATCTTTATGGGAGTCACGCATTTTGAAAGGCAGTTCTGAGTCTGTGTCACTATCACAACCTTAGAAGAAAGGGGAAAAAACATTAATTTTCTAGATACAAGTTTCCAGCTAGAAGTTATACTGAAATATCCCCAGATCAGTTTAACTCCATGTTTGGGATGTGTCTGCTGCAAACTTTTTGAGCTACTGATGGTGCAGTATAAGATATATTTTTAGAAGTTTGTTGTGAAGCTGTAATAAGGTCCATTAAGCTGAATTTGGTTTGTATGCTCATGCTACATTCATTCCACTCTTTCACCGTCACTGTTGCCTGCAGGAAACAATGCTAGCCTTTAGACTGAAGAAGTAAAACAGCAGAGAAATTCTTAATTAAAAACACATTTGCCACTCAGGTTTACTAAGAAAGCCAAGTTATTAGCAAATGGTATAAAATATGCTCATCTCAGCAGATTAACACCCATTAGAAGCCCTGGGTAGGTTGCATAGGTAGCATGGCTAGATGTTGCTTTGCTCAGAAGAGATATGCTCCATGTGGCTTTGGCCCAATGATTTTATGTTACACATGGTACAAAATACAAACGCTCGCTTTTTTTTTTTTTAATATAACTTTAAACTACAAGTTCATATTGCATTTTACAACTGGGAGAAGAATAAAGATTACAGATGTCAGGATCTAACATCATAAATTTTCTTCTTGTTACCTTTCTTCCCATGACAAACTAAAATATCAAAAATAACTACCATTCTGATTTTAATGTAGGTGGGAAAAATCCTACTTACATTGAATATTCACAAATAGAATGAGAACAGAGAGGTTTGATATGTCCATACTAGGAACTAGGCAAGAAAATTACGCAAGTGCTGCAGTTTTATGTGATTCCATCAGGATCTGAAGTCTTGCATTCACCCTCCCTGAACTATAGAAAAATACCCCCCACGGACATGGATCCTAAAACAGCACAAGTAAGAGTCCCAACAGCTCTTCCTAGGGAAATTCCTGTGGGCATTGCTTTGTTTCTACCAACTGTTCAAGGTCGATATTTACTTAAGCAAAACACAACTGTTGCAGTTACAAAGCTAGATTACCTTTCAAGCCACGTACTGGGCACCCAAAGGACTAGGCCCATACATTGTCTTTACTCACATTCATGAGACATATGCTAAAAGAAAATTTAAGAGAAGAAAACATACCTTCACTGCCACCTTTCAAGGTTATGTCTGATGAAAAGCTTGTGGAGGATCTTGAGCCAAGAGAGTCCAAGCTATCAAAGGAATCGTCTCTTTTATGACTAGCTGAAGGTGGAAAGGGCTCTCCCCGGTCCACGTACCAAATATCACCGTACCCACTATCCCTGCCACTTCTGTTCAGGTGGCTGGACTCTTCAAGTGCCTATGAGAGTAAGTTTTGAAAGATGTTTTGTAATAGTTTAAGGCAGAATGCTACTAATGATTTTTCACTCAAAAATTTTAAAATGTGTTCTGACTCCAAAACAAACTTTAACAAAGACTATTGCAACACCTCTGAAAGAGACCTATACAACAGAAGGCCTTGAATTTCTCACTTCAGCCTAGCAGAATCAAAACAGGGCTCTTCACAATCTACTAAGTCCATCACAGCAGATGACCTCTGAATTTCTTGATTATATCATTAGCAGAAGAACCAGTGTAAGCTAAAACTTATTCCTTTCACACAGCCTTTGATAGCAAGCAAAACAAACAAAAAAAATCCACTACTGTGTTCCCCAAATTAAAAATAAAATGAACCCCCCAACCAGTTCTTTTAGTGTTGACGCTATAACATACAGAAAAGTATGAAATTTAGGCTATTTATTTACTACTCCTTGTGGATTTCTTACCTTGGTCAACGCTTGCCCTAATAACTTCTCAAATGCTTTAAGATTGAGGTATGGACCATTATAATGAGGATTACTTTGTGCTTTTCTCCCAAGCCAGTACAATGTAATCAAAACCTAGGGGTATAAAACAAAAACTCAAAGTTCACTACTTGCCTCTCAAACCATACACCAATATAAAAGCATCTAACTATGCTGTTACGAGATGTTTTCCAAAATGAAGTATTAAAATCTTGTCTACAGTGTAAGCCAAAATTAAAACCAAAGACTGTTACGATGCACATAATATAACTCAAGTAATCAGATATAATTGCTGTTTCTAATTATTACATTTATTTGGAAAGGAGCTTAGCTGCACGGAGATCACCATAACATGGCACTAATTTGCATCAGATGAAAGAACAGCAGAAGAATACGGTAAGCATGATAGTGCCATAAACAGAAATGTTTTTAAAAGATATTTAACCAAAATTAGTGTAAAATTATTTCAGAAAGCATTGAAGTAAATATCTTACATTTTTCACTCTTCTGTTGGTCTCCTCTGGTCTGAAGCAGGGCAGGGAATGAGAAAGAAACAAAACGAAGTTTTAAAATCACTTACTTAAACTTAATTATTATTCAACATTTAAATGGTTTGAAGTCCAATTAGAAACTAGTATAAAATATGAAATTCTTCCAAAAGAAATAAAAAGCAATGTGCTTTGAATTCTCAGGCATAACTCCATACTATTTCAATCATTATATATAAAGTAAGAAAACATTTTAGTTTCTGATTTGAGAGGAGTTCAGAAAGACTCTAGGCTTTTTTAATTAGCCAAGGTTTTTAGTTACCAATAACTACAAAAAAAGTGGAAAGCAAGCTAATGACTTGGGACAATATAGTTTCTATTATCCAGGAAGAGCTTTGGTTCCATATGAGAGCAAATTCAATTGTTACAACTAGAGGGTGGTGGGAGGGTGGTGAAGTAGTATTATAGTTTCCAAAATATTTGCCTCATAGTTGCGTAGGACACTTAAATCTAAAAAGAATTTTTCAGACAAAAAATATAAGTGAACATCTGAAACATGGACATTTGGAAAGAGCTGCTGCAGGGTTGGGAGGAGGGTTTTGTTTTTTTTGGTTTGTTTTCATGTGAGACATCTCTCTCCAAATTAAAAAAAAAAAAAAAAAAAAGGATACAAGCACTGACAGCGTTTTGCTTTGTTTTTTAAATTACCAATTTGTGGCACATTTTGCAAGCATACCAATGCACACCCATAGTGATCTTGTTCTCCTGTTGCTCCTTTTAAGAACATTAAGAAACTTCTCTGATGGGAGCCTCCCAGACAAGAGGTACCACAGGTTCAGTCCTCAGGTGCAAATATCCACAGCTGGACTGCAGAGAGCAGCTGTGCCACACTCCCATCCTCACTGCCAGCGGGTAAGGAGCGGAAAACTGCCTCTCACTCATCTAAATAACTTCTCATGTGCCCAAGATGCTTTTGGTTTGGGGCTGGCTCAGCAGCAAAGTGACACATGGCAGAGGGGGAAGATTCCAACAAAAAAAAAAAAAAAAAAAAAAAACAAAACAAACAACAAAAAAAAAAAAACAGGTGAGGAGTCAATATATGGTGGCAGAAAGTCCTATATGGAGTCCCAGTTCAGACCCGCAATGCATCAGGTCACATAGCCCATTTCTGGCTGGCTGCCTAGAAACAAGTTAGTCAAAGGGTGCAAGGAAAAAGTAAAATAAACTGTGCAGTAGTTAACGAGGTAGCAAAGTGACTGGGCCTGGTCAGCACAGACGGCACTCATTAGGGAAACATGATACTCATTGCAACGTGACAACCAGCCTGCACACAGATTTCCCTGCCTTTCTTTCCTCCTATCTTAAGTGTTTGTTCCCACTCAGGCCAGCTAGGATCACCATGCCCATCCGCTACACTGTGAGGAAATCACACAGCCAAGAACATGAAGTCACCATGCACCCAACCTGCACAATGCCTGCCTGAGACTTCTTCAATATCACATTGTGAAGGTGACAACGATTTTGTAGCAAGCAACATATTTCTCATAGAAAGGAGAAATGCATCTCTTCTAATGTCAAGTATTTGCAAATATGTTTTAAAACCCCTTCTGAAACACACTGCCTTTTGGTTTTGCTTTTTTAAAAGGGTATGAAATGGGAGAAATTTTTCTTCCTTTTCATCAGTACATGGATCTCTTTGCAAATGTAGATAGTACTGCACATGCTATGGCTGTTACCTAATGAACTGACTAGAGGCAGGTTGGTTACCAAGCAGAAAAAGGAAAATTGTTCTTGTGATGCTGTGCATCAGCATAACTTTTTTCCACACCTGAAGGAGAACGTTTTAAAGGTCTCGTTAGCTTCAAGGTCTAAGAGCCTTTCATTAGGGCAGAATTTCCTTCATTATTTGCAATTGTAAAAGCAGAGGCCGTGTATGCCCTTGCTAAGGATGCCTTAAAGTTTGCTTCCACACTTTAGCAGTCTAGTAAGCAGTGAAAAATTCTGCCTTTAGTCAGCTATGCAGCATATCTAAGAGGCTGCTGGTCACACCAGCTTTCAGAAGGAAGCTCCATGACTGGACATGGTGTCCATTTCTGCTCTTCATGAGTTCTCTGGGATCATTTAGGTCAATCATTTGCAACAGGAGGAACACTCCACTGCTTTTATTTTTTGTATATTGCCTAAATTTGAATAATCATGTGCATAATGATGCCTATGTACCTGGGCTATAAACACTGCAAAACTTGACGTTCACAAACTAGTGAGCATTGTTTGCCCAAAATGCAGAGAGAGAACTATTTCACACACACACAGAAATGTGAGACAATGCTCCATTCACACGTTTGCTAGGCTAACAACGGAAACAAACTGTCAAGTTGTTTACTCAGTACAGCTTTTCCAGATTTGTGACTTTACTTACGTTACTGCATGTCTTTGAACTATGCCTGTTAACTTCTGAACCTTTTAAGCAACTTGTCACAATAGATGTAGCCAAGCATAAGAACAAACAAAACAAGAAAACCCCCGCTAATCTAGAGCAATCAGTTCCTCATTTATATAGGTATATATTAATTCTTCGACAGCCCTTACATAAAAAAGGAAAAAAGGAGACTCGGGGTGATTAATGTATTGTCTGAGAATCTGTGTAAATTTAAGACCTTTTTGCCAAAAAAGATAAAAAGCCAATGCTGACATCTTATTGGAAAGTCATAAAAATCAGTTGTCACTTACAGACTTCACAGCTGCTTCTCCTTTGTGAGGTGTGCAACTTGCAAAAGATGCAGTTTGGATTTGTTTGCTATCTTCCTCTCAGTGACATAAGAGACACTTACATCTACATCTTGGTCAAGCTTAAACCATATCCGAGCTATGTGTGCACAAGCCATTGCCTAGTTACTCCCCAGTATATTGCATTTATAATAGCATATTGTTAGAATGCTGTGGAAATACAATGTGAAATAGTTATATTAACAGTTTCTCCTTCATAAAGAGCTATCACCAAAATGTAAATACTGAACAGTACTATGCAGCTTGGCTTGGGCTTTGAGAAACCTGGTCTAGTGGAAGGTGACCCTGCATTGCCCCCATGGCTGGGGGGCTGGAATTAGATATTTAGGGTCCCTTCCAACCAAAATTGTTCTATGGTTTTATGATTCTATGAAGAGAATGGTCTAATGGGTAGGTCTGAAAAAAACTATGGATCATAGCAGCAACACAAAGCTAGAAGTCATAACTGGTGACAGCCTTCTCTGAAGTATACCATATTCTTTGCTGCTGTGTGAGGAGGCAGGAACCTGCTTTCTCTGACAATCCAAAAGCAAGTTCCTGCTCTCACCTCTGCTCTCTTCTCACACAGGGCTGTCTAGCTCTAAAACTATGTGACCAAAACTCTCACATTCTCACACTCTATTTGATGAAATAGGTTAGAAGTTGGAATGCAAGAACTTTGGCAATGCAGCTTTTAATCCTTTTAAATGCACCAAGACAATTATAACCTAATTTTGAACATAAGTCCAAGTGCACACACAGCACTGGTTATAAAGACATCTGTTGCGTGAAAGCTGTTCTTGCAACAAGTAGAGGTAACCAACTTGAAGTATTTTCATCAGTGCAAACAAGCACCAATCCTACATTAAACAATTCTGAAAGAAAGTTGCTTTTTGATGTTTTAATTCAAAATGATAATGCCTAGCTGGTGCAAACTATAGCCTTTATGAAAATGTTATTCTGCATAACCTAATTCCTGCCTTGAATAAATGAATGCCATTGTGCTGAAACTTACAAGCAGGCTGCTACTTTACTCAGGAGGTTACAGCCAAAGCTGTGTCTTAAAAACAATCTGCTGAAAGAAGCGTGATCCTGTCCAAATGACAATTCCACACTTCTTATTAAATCATTTCATGTCACTTCAAACATTATCCTCATTTTCCCAAAGGTTTTTATTTCTCATTTCACTAACAATGCAACTTCACTAAAGATGTCTGAACTAAGCAATACAATCTGCTTAAGAGGGCAGTTGTGATTTTACAGAAATAATCTTATTGCGTATGTACACTTTGCTCCTTTCTGCCACAGTCACAATGTTTTTAGTGTTTATTCTGAAATTTAAAGAAACAATTCTGATCCTCTGTGTTGCCTAATCTAATCTCAATGTCAAACCTCAACTAACTTTGAGGTCTCAAATTCAAAAACTGCAGCTTCTATTTCATGTAAGGATGAACCTTAAACTTTTATTGAAACCACTGCTGATAGTTAAGTACAACTTCAAGGTTAGCTATCCTGGAAAATATATCAGACGCAGCATGAAAGTCTAAAGGCCATGACATAATGTGTGAGATATTATAATTATTATGAAGAATAACTGCACAATTCCAGGCTGAACTCTGCTACAAAGCATGTAAAATAACCACCCACAAAGAAGTAATACCTTCTGTGTAAGTCATCTGATCTACGTCAATTGTTTAGCAAACAGAAAAAAAAAAGACAAATGGGACAAAAATAGCTTTCACTTGTTAGTAGGTGAGATACTTAGAGACCAAATACCTTAGTCATATTTGAACAAAATGCACATTCACACACATCGCTCACACCCAGTCACCACTAAGGGAGGAATGTTTCTCTAATGAGGACCACTCTATGAGAATAAAAGAAAGGGACATGGCAGATCAGCAGACTGAGCTGAAGCTCAAGGAATTTATTCTCAGCTCCACTGTTTGCTCAAGGTTAAATAGCAAAATTAGTCACTAAGGCCCTTGCCTGACAATACAAAGGCTTTGGCAGCAGCTCTACCTTCAGGATTTCCTGGTCTCCCTTCCCCTTCCAGCCGCCTCTGTTTGCTGCCCTGTGGTTATGCCAACACAGCTCTGAATCACACTGTGAATCAGGACCACAGGGCTGAGCCAGTTTCTCTGTTTGGGTTTTTCTAATATACATTTTTTAATGCCCCAATTAGCTCACTCATCTCTTTTATGCCTCACTAGTACAGCCTCATACTGCCTCAGCACAACAATGGAGACAGCACATGGCCATGCGGCAGCA